CTAAACATATATTTTCTTTCAAATCAATCGAAGACGATCAATCTAAAATTAAACGGTTGGTTAGAAAAAAAAAGAAATTTTTAGTTAGAAAATATATGTTAGAAGAGTGCAACAAATATATAAACATACATATATACAATTTAAAATAAATTTATTTTTAGATTTAAATTATAAGTCAGAATTGCCAACCAATTTTTTTATTTAAAATATTTCTTTAAAAATGTTCACAAATTAGGATTAACTTAATAATTATTTAAAAAGTGTTTATTTACTTATTTAATAAGGATGAGTAATATAAAATAAATTTGTTTTTACATTAGTAAATGTAACGAAAAAAAGAAAATATTTACTTATGTAAAATATATTTGTTCGTAAAAATTCTTTTTTTCCTTTGCAAACTTTTTTTAAAAAATTTTCTCATTTAATTTTTCCACCTCTTTTGTTTAGTGTCATCTGCCCGCCGATACACACAATTAAAAGCAGCGTGAAAAATAAATGGAAAAGATTCGCGCAGGTATTTAAAAAAAATAAGTAAAAATTGTGTAAATGTGAGGAGAGAGGAAGAGACAACAGGTATTTGAAAAGAAAAGAGAAAGAAATGAATTTTTAAAAAATAATTTTTTTTTGATGGATTTTATTTAATTGAAAGAAAATGTTTGATTTTTAAATATTTTAAAGAGAAGCTTAAAAATGAGAAAATAAAATAAAAGTGTAATTTAATCTATCCATTTGTTAATATTGAAAAATAAAAAAAATAAAATTTAACAAAGAGAAAATTAATTTTAAAGAGAAAATACCGCTAAATATTAGTGAGAAAAAATATTTTTTTGGTTAAAGAAAAGAAAACTGGTTAAAAATTGGTAATTTAAAGAAAAAAAGTTTTGATTTTAAAGACAATAAAAAAAGGAAAAAAACAATCAAATGCTTAAAAGAATATTAAAGTTGACAAGGAAAAAATTGTGGGAAGAAGGCTAAACAAAGGGTTAGCAAAATAAAGAAAACAATGTAAAGGTGTGTAGATTTATAAAATTATATTTATATGTTAGCTATCTAATTTCCTTCTTATATCGCTTAAAATTTTTGTTAGAATTGGGTGTTAATTCTAGTAAATATTTTAAAAATAAAAAGAATTTTTACAAAAAAAAATAAAATTTTTAATATAAAATTTCCCAACTTTTTAGTCACCACAAAATGGCGAGCTACATAATACACACTACTACAACCACACAAAATGAAAAAAAGTAAGGCGGACACTCATCGGATGCTGTTTTGGATGGTGTTTTGCAAGGCTATGGTTAGGCGCAGAACAATCGATGCGATTTTATATTTATGTGTGTGGTTGGGGGTATTTAGTAGGTGGTGGTGGAGGAGAGAGGGAGTGAAGGAGGGAACCATTTGAGTAAAGTTAAAATAAAAATTTTGATAAGAAAATTTAAAAAAAATGTTGGGAATTATTGAAAATACCTACACATATTTATTAACTTTAATAGAAAAATTAAATTTTACTTACGGATATTTAATTTATAAAATTATAAAAGCAATTATTGGGTGACATAACAAAAAAAACTATCCCCCCTGACCATTTTGAGCCTTCTTGCTTGATCTACAATTTAGCACATATCATTCAAATGAACTCTTCGAGCTGAGTAGAAAGATACCAATAATTTGGTAATATTTAACAATTAAGAAGTTGGATCCTTTATGTGAGAGCTTTTTGTTCCTCAACAAGTGATCATAACTTTTTTCAGTAAAGTCGGATTTCGTTTATTTTGGTTCCTTTCGACTCAGCTCAAAAAGCTCTTTCAAATGATATATGTTTGATTATCCGTAACAAAATAACAGATGATGCAAAAGGATTCAGGAAGATGGTGGGGGAGGGGGGTCTAAACTGAAGAATTACCAAAAGAAACTTCGACATTCTACATATATTCGAATAAATAAATTAAAAATATTTTTATTTAAAATTTAAATTAATAATTTGTTTAATAATGACAATTTTTCCTGTCAAAAATGATTTATTTAACGAGAAATTAAGCGAAGATATATATCCTCTTTTTCTTTGTTTTATATTTATACAACTAACCAAAACAAAAATATACATATCTATTTAATCATCAAAACATTCCCCCCAACAAAACACACAAATATATTCCTTCTTCCTTTCATCCTTCATTTCTTAACCAATTTGCTTTTAAAATTGAGTGGTTGTTGGTTAAGCAAAAGGCGCCGCGCATCTGCAGCCAGCTGCTACTACTTTAAATTTAGAAAAAAAGAGGGGGGAAATTTGTAAAAATATTTTTTTGTAAAAATGTGAACAGAAAAAATTATGTAAATAATTGTATATATTATACTAAATAGTAATGAAAATATAGATTTTAGTTTTTTTTAAATTTAATAGATAGTAATATATGTAAATCGAATTATTAAAAATTAAAAAAATAATATGTATTAATATCACATCCGATAATAATAATAAATTTATGTAAATTGTATTTTTACTTTACCTATATCTTACAATTAAAATGAACTTTACTTACTAAATTTAATCAGTAATCGAGTATGGCTTATAGAGAATTTTTCTTTTTTTTCCATTAGGGCTTCGTTTCGTCCTTTAAGTACCTAATATAGTAGCTCATTTGAAAGCCCGTATAATTTATTACAAAATTGTCCGAGTTTAATTAATCCAAAAATACAATCAATTCCCGTTTATTTCTGAGATTCAAGATTTAAATGAAAAATTAAAAAATTTTTGCATCAATTAAAGAAGGAAAACCTGAATGAACTTTAAGTCTCTTAAACACTTTTCCCCCTGAAAATCGAATCGTCTTCGGTAAAATCAGGGCTCTCATCGACAAAATGCCACTCAAAAGTATCAAAATCTTGATAAAAAAGTATATAGGGAGAAAATTTCCAAATTTAAAGTATACTCAAAATTAAATTGGAAAATATTTGTTCGTGCTCAAATCTTTTATATTTCTCTCTTAAATGAATCTTTTCTAATAATTTCTTGCTTCCATTGGGCATTTTGTGCATTTCAACGCATGACATGTCAAAATTCGCTGATACAAGAAATAAAGCCCTGACAGTCTTAACCTCAAGCTTTCGTCCATTTTCAGCGCCGCAGGCGAAAATTTTTTGAAATTTGGAGCCCAAGTAGTCAGATTTCTCCCATTTTCAGCGCCGCAGGCGAAAATTTTTTGAAATTTGGAGCCCAAGAAGCCAGATTTCTTTCTTTTTCAGCGCCGCAGGCGAAAATTTTGATAATTTCGAAGGCCCAAGGCTAAAAAAATTCACTTTTTTGCCCAATCCCTTCCCCAATTTCATTTTCAATCCAAAATGTTGATTTTAAAGTATATACTTTCAATAAAGTATAAATTCAATTTCTTAAGTATGGAGGTCGGTTTCAAAGTATAATACTTTCAAATAAAGCACGAATGAGAGCCCTGGGTAAAATCATTATAATTTTTGTATAAAATTTTAAGAATATGTAGATGTTATCAGTAGGTAGTCAATGGTTTTAACCTTTTAAAAATTCTTTAGAAAAAGTAAAGCTATTTCATCCATCGCTTTTATTTTACTAATTAAGAAATTTAACAACGTTATTGTTTCTAAACATATTGCCGCAACTGTACATTGTAATAAAATTCATATAATTAAAAAATAAGGCGAATTTTCAAAGATTTTTTTAATTTCTAAAAAAATATTTTTATAAAAAAATTCTTTATATTTATGAATTTCCCTCGTTATTCATTTTGAATGACTCAATTGTCAAAATAAAAATTGTTAAATGCTTTTACTAAAATCAATATTAAATAAATTTAATAATTAAAAAATAAAATGTAAATTAATTTAAATTTTATAGAAGATAAAAAATGCCGGTAATTCAATATCCAGAAAATATCCAAACATTTTCTACAACAGTTGGACTTTTATATATTTTTAATTTAATTGTTGGTACAGGGGCGTTAACGTTACCTAGAGCATTTCAATCAGCTGGTTATCTTCTTAGTTTAATTTTGCTTTTAATTTGTAAATTTACAAGGTTTTTAATTTAAATTATTAGAGTGTCTAAATATATTAAAGTATTTTGAAAGATTAATCCAAATCCCTGACATTTTTCATTAATTTCAAAGAAAAGTAGAGTCAATGAAATATACTTGGATAAGTTGAATTAGGTCCGATATACAAAATTCGGGTGTCTGGTTAAATTAATTTTTTTAAATTTTTATTTGAAAAATTATTTAAGATTTATTTCAAGATATCCGTCTTGTTTATAAAATTTAGAAAAATATTTTAAAAATATTTTCAATTAATGGTAATAATTTATTACCATTAAAAAAACGGTCTCGTCCAACCCTAGTAATAAATTTAAATTTAATTGTAGTTATATCTGTGCTACATTTGTTATTGAAGCTTTGGCAATTGCTAATTATTTATCAAATAAACCATTAAATAGACAAACTTGTTCAGATGAAGAATCCCCAATTTTATTTGAAGAAAATAATGAAAATAATTATATTGATAATAATTTAAGGGAAGAAGAAAATGAAGAAAGGAATGAACAAAAATATATTTTAAATAAAAGATTTGAATTGGTTGGGGAATTTTTTTAATTATTTGGGATTATTAGAATATTGGGGAAAAACGAGAATATTAATATCTAGTTAATATTAAAAGGGATTTTTAGTAAAAATTAAATTCTCTTATTTCAAATCCCTAACAGCAGGTCTGTAGCCAGGAGGGTTTTTGGAGTAGAAAAATCGGCGTAGAAAATCCCCCCACCCCCCCCCCCCCCCCGAAAAAAATCTGGCTACGGGTCTGCCTAACAGAATTTAATTTTCCCTATTTTTTATTAAATTTTCGAAAATTTAACAAAGTGATTAGTCTTATACCCCAATCCCTCATTGTGAACGTCTTCATCCCTATTTAATACCATTTATTAATACCTTTCACTAACCTAATAATCAATCCCCTAATTTTAAAACTTTTAATAGGCAGAAATGTCTCATTTATTTCTCGGAACTGGAGGGACAATATTTACCTATACAATATTAACAATTTATTTATTTGGAGATTTAGCTGTATATTCTACAATGGTTCCCAAATCTTTAATGAATATTATTTGTTCTACTTTAAATTCTTCTGCCTCTTTAAATCCAAATTTGCCTTGCCATAATGGACCTGATAATTGGCTAAATTTATTTAGTAGATTTTTTGTTTATCGATTTTGTATTTTAATTTTTGTTGGATTTTGTTTTCCAATGGTTTGATTTTAATTTTAAAAAGAAAAAAAATATTATTTTTAAAAAAGATTTTATTGGGAATGACTAGAACTAAATGGTTACAATTATCAACTACTTTGTCTAGATGGACTGGTTTAGTTTTTCTTTAAATTTTTTTCCAAAATTTAATTATTAATTTTAATTAAAATTAATTTCTGTTTATCGGTCAAGATTTTGATAGATTTTTTTAGAAAAATTATTTTTAAAATTCTTGATACCGGGGATTTCAATTTTAATTTATTTAATTAATTAATTTTCATTTAAAATTTACACAATTCTAAATCTCAGGAATTAAGCGGGAATACCTAAAAGTACTTGTTATTCAAAAAAACATTTTAATTTGCAAAAATTTCCTATAAAAATTATACTTTAAAAATTCCTTTCTTCTTTATTTGAAGCATTTATTTTAATGATTGTAATGGCCACAAATTTACTTTTGCGTGATGGCCCAAAAGGACATCCTCCACCAATTAATTTTCATTCTTTTGGTTCTTTATTTGGAGTTGCTGTCTATGCATTTATGTGTCACCATTCAATACCTGGATTAATTTCCCCAATAAGGGGAATTGAAAATAATTTTAATAAAAAATTATTTTTAATTTATTCTTTAATTTATTTGTTTTATTGTGCTTTGTCTTTAACTGGCTCTTTTGCTTTTGAACATGCACAAGATATTTACACTATTAATTTTTTGGTAAATTTGTATTTATTTAATGATAGTTCTTAAAGACTGACATTAATTAAAGTAGTTATTCTAAATTAGGGGTTGAGAGCGGTATCGGGATCCAAACCAGTATTGGGCGATATTATACCGGTCTCTTTGAATCCCGATACCCATTTGCTGATACCGATGACGAAAGGCAAATCCCAATACCGGGCCATTATCGATACCGGACTTTCTGCAAAATATGCACTGATATCGGGGAGTTCCTTGCATAATTTTGCCGCGCCCTATTTATAAAAAATAATTTTTTAAATTAAATTAAATTTTCAAAGCACGAACAAACAGAACATGTCAATTTGTGTGATTCTCTAATTGATTATTTTCTGGCTTTATTTCCAGTTTTTGTACTTACATCTTCGTATATTATTGTAGCAATTACTTTATGTAACAATATGAAAGTTTTATTTAAATTATTAATTAATGGAAAATTTGGAAGAATTTTTATTAGAAGAAATTTAGATAATCAAGAAGAGGAAATACTTACAAAGTTTTTAATTTAAAAATTAATTTAAAAAAATATTTTTTAGTAATAATATTGAAGATAATGAACCTTTACTTGGTGGAAATGAAAATAATTTAAATGAGGAAGAACAAATTAATTTTCATTCATCAACTTCTACAAATTTATTAAATAATTTAAATTCTCCTCCTCAAATAACAATTAAATTATTTTTAAGAAAATACGGAATTCCTTTAATTATTCTGTTAATTCCTTCATTAATTTCGATGGCTACAGATAATGTTTTATTATTAGCTTCAATTACTGGTACTATTTGATTAAATATATACCGTATTTCCTATATTAGAGCCCCACCCTCTGTTAGAGCCCCACCCTTTAATACAGCCCCACTTTGGAGGATAGTTGAAAAATAGAGCCCCACCCTCAATTAGAGCCCCACCCCAAATACAGCCCCGCCTAAAATATATTGGAGGAAAAAATATCCCAGTAACTTTTAAGATATATTGAGAGAGTTAAGGAAATAAAGAAGGATATCGATGATATCGTGATCATGAAGGAGGAGGGATCATGGCGATATACGGATGAAAAGGAGGAGATAACCCCAATATCCGTCCAAATACTCTTATATCACCTATATTCCTTCAACTACCTCCTATTACCTCCAAAATCGAATCATTGTACGAAGGGTTGCATTTGTGTTAGGCACTTGACGATAATTCGCGAGATTATTAGAGATCTATTAGTGATCTCGCTTATAATCACTGATGGAGAAGTTCCAAAATTTCTCTGGAACCTGTTCCAGTTCTGGAACTGCTTTTTGAATTTCTCCAGTTCCAGTTCTGGAACCTGTTCCAAAGCTTAATCAAACAAAATCCCTTCATATGCCTCCTAATACCCCTATCCAGAATATCCTCTTAATTCCGCTAAATCTTTCAATATAAAATTAATCCTCAGATATTCCCCATAATCCCTTAAAATTATACCTCTGATCCATCGATGTCAAATACGCCCTAATATAATCTGTCCAAATCTATCCATATTTAATAATTAATCTTACTCTCATTGAACTATTGAACTATTATTTTGTTATTCATTGCTTAAAAAGTTTCATTTTTTTGAAAAATCGAAAAATATTGATTTTTTTCGATATTTTGCGGATTTATCACTTAAACTTCTTGCTTATCTCTAGTTGCAATGGATAATTAATGAATGGGATTTTATCTCAAAAGAGGGTTGAAAAATAGAGCCCCACCCTCGATTAGAGCCCCACCCTCTAATACAGCCCCACCTTGGCGGATAGTTGAAAAATAGAGCCCCATGGGGCTCTATTATAGGAAATACGGTAGTTAGTGGAATGTAGATAACACCTTCGGGAGCTAATTTAGTTGACGTATGAATAAAAATAAAATTGTTATCGTTGAGAGTAAGGTTGTCGGAAAGTTGGAAATCTTCGGATATCCGGATTCGACACCCTTAGTTGAGAGTAATATTATCGAGAGATTCCACTTTTTACACTATTGAATCCTTGTAATTTTTTTTATCTTAAAAACCTCTGAATGGAAGTTGAAGAAATAAATAACCAAAATATTTTTTTAAATTTTCTACAAAAAATTTTAAATTAATTTTTAGGTAGTTTTCCTGGTGTTGGTGTTCAATATATTCTGCCAGCTTTGTTAATTTTAAGTGCCCGCAAAGCTCTTTTCACAAAAATTGGTTCAAACACAATTCCATTAAATGTATTATCATCTCCATTTACACATTGGTTATGGCCTATAGGAATTCTTTGTTGGGCTGTTTTTGCAATTTTAATTGTTTCTTTAAATATTTTTCATTTAGGATAAGTGATAATTTTTGCAAAATATTTTTGTCTTTTTCTTTCAGTCTTTCCCGTTGATTTTAATTTTATCAAATTTTTTGAAAATTTTTATTGTTAAATATATCTATAAATTACACTCTAAGCTTTTTTACTTTTTGGGATATATTTTCTGTATTAATTCTTTTTTTTATAAAAGTTAGAGAGTATTCAACTTGCTATATCTTTTTATTTTTGCATTTATTTAATAAATATTAATTTTTGTATTAATAAAATATTTCTATATATTAATAAAATATTCCGAATATATTAATAAATATATATTAATAAAATATTCCGAATTGGCCAGATCAGGCCTAAACGGACGGTTAAATCATAGAATGGTAGGCTGTCCGAATTGGCCAGATCAGGCCTAAACGGACGGTTAAAACATAGAATGGTAGGCTGTCCTAATTGGCCAGATCAGGCCTAAACGGACGGTTAAAACATAGAATGGTAGGCTGTCCGAATTGACCAGATCAGGCCTAAACGGACGGTTAAAACATAGAATGGTAGGCTGTCCGAATTGGCCAGATCAGGCCTAAACGGACGGTTAAAACATAGAATATTTTAACTGTCCGAATTGGCCAGATCAGGCCTACACGGACGGTTAAAACATAGAATGGTAGGCTGTCCGAATTGGCCAGGTCAGGCTTAAACGGACGGTTAAAACATAGAATGGTAGGCTGTCCGAATTGGCCAGATCAGGCCTAAACGGACGGTTAAAACATAGAATGGTAGGCTGTCCGAATTGGCCAGATCAGGCTTAAACGGACGGTTAAAACATAGAATGGTAGGCTGTCCGAATTGGCCAGATCAGGCCTAAACGGACGGTTAAAACATAGAATGGTAGGCTGTCCGAATTGGCCAGGTCAGGCTTAAACGGACGGTTAAAACATAGAATGGTAGGCTGTCCGAATTGGCCAGATCAGGCCTAAACGGACGGTTAAAACATAGAATGGTAGGCTGTCCGAATTGGCCAGATCAGGCCTAAACGGACGGTTAAAACATAGAATGGTAGGCTGTCCGAATTGGCCAGATCAGGCTTAAACGGACGGTTAAAACATAGAATGGTAGGCTGTCCGAAAGTTTCAAAAATTATTGTTAGCTAACATTCGAATCAAAAAAGTATTCTAAGTGGTTTAAGATTGTTTTTTATTTCGAGAAAAATCTTATTAAAATTTTTTCCAGTTATAATTCTTAGTACTAAATTATTATAATTTTCCAAACAAAGATTTAATTTAAATATTAATCTCTCATAAAATTCCAAATATATTTCTATTAAAAATAATTTGTGTAATTTATCATAATTATCGCTAACGGGTGAAAGAAGGAGAGAAGATGCACGACTCGCGCACGAATCAAAAATATTTAATTGTGATATTCTTTTTATTTTTCTTTTAAATATTCCCGGATCTCTTCTTCTCTTTATTAACGTTTTGCAATGAAGAAAGAATATTATTTATTAAATATTTTCAAAAATTCTTTCAGATTTATTTTTGATTTATTAATGGCATAATAAAAATAATTTTAAGAAATAGAAATTAAAATAAAAATCTGTTTTAAATATCGAAGTAGAAATTTTTTGGGCATTACAAATTCTTGAAATAAAATTTAAGCACTTAGTACTTTGAATAATTCTTCTATACTTTCCTATCTCTGTTTAATTTTTTAAATTATTTTTTAAAAATTCTACAACTGTAAAGTTCTTTTAACAATTTATTAGTCAAAATAAAAAGATTCTTCTAACGTTAATCAAAACAAACAAAAATACTCACAGACTGGTCAGTATGCGTAAAAATATTGATGAAGCTGGACAAAATAAATAAATGTTTATTTGTTTAATTTAAGTCGAAAATATAAGAATATTCTGATTTTATATTTAAATTTTTAACTTTAAAAAATATTTTCCACAAAGTAAAAAATAATTTTTATAATTGTGGTTATTAAATTAAAGCAGGGCTCCGATCGACAAAATGGTGCCTAATTTTTGGCACCGAAGGCGGCAAAAATTTTGATTTTTTGCGCCGCAGGCGAAAATTTTGAGCATTTCAAAGGCCGTAGGCCAAAAATTAACTTTTTTGCCCAATGTCTTCCCTAATTTCATTTTTAATCCAAAATGTTGATTTAAAAGTATATGTATACTTTCAAAAAAGTACAAATTTAATTTCGTAAGTATGGAGGTTGATTTAAAAGTAGAATACTTTTAAAAAAGTATGAATCGGAGCCCTGAATTAAAGTATTTTTTAAAATATTAATAAATCTATTAATGTAAATGTGCTAATATAACTTTTATTTTCCAACATTTTATTTAACTTTCCCAGATATTTACTATTTTAATTGTTCAATTTCTTCATTTTTTTTAAATTAATTTTCGTTTAAAAAATTAATTTATTCAAAAAGTTTTATTTAAAACTTTTCTGGGAAAATTTAAGAATTCTACATAAATTTAAATATAATTCTTCTATAATTTCTTACAATAAAAATTCCATTATTAAATTCCTTTATTTTCTGTGTCATTTTAATTTTTCTAATTTTACTCGCCAATCAATCAATTTTACGAAGAAATAAAATACGAAATGCGCGAGAAAATTTTTTGACTTTTCTTTCTTTCTCTTCATTTATTTATTGCAAAACAAAAATTGAAGATCCGGGATTTAAAGAAAAGAAATGCGCGTTGAGAATTATTTAAATATTTCTAGTTAGGTCTGTAACTATATATGGAATTGTATTTTAAATAAAGAAAGCCTTGAAGTTTGTAAATATTTAGAAAATTTAATTAGCTTTTACTTAAATATTTTAATAAATACCGACTCTTGATATAACGAATACCTCTTTATAACGACCCTATTCTCCTCCGTTCCTCGATGCAAGGGAAAATGCACTAACGTAAATCAAAGGCTCGATTACCGCGCGTTATAACGGATTTCTTCTGAGTCCTTTCTATATAGTGATATTTAATTTTCAAATTTTTATATTTTCAAGGTCCAAAATTAATAAAATTAGTTGTTTTATTTAAATTTACAAGTCAAAAAATAAAAAAATAATTTTCTTTACAAAATATACCTATTTACTACAACAATTTTCTTCCAAACCCCCTCTTTCTTTTTTGTTGTCTCAAAAATATATATTTATTTATATAAGGAATGCCGTCCATTACGCACTGCGCGACTTACTACAATTTTTCCCCTCCCATAATTTTCTCATCTTTCTCTTCAGATTTATTCCTTTTCCTCTTCAATTCATTTTACAAAATCGCTTCGCTTTCCCATATTTTTATTTTCACTTTTGACTTGAAATTTGTGTGTTTTGATTTTACTTTTGGATTCTTCAAAATTTTATTTTTTCTTTATTATTATTAAAATATTTTCTTAAGAATAAATTTGCTTTTTAAAGCAAAATACTCTTTTAATCAGACCTGTGTATGGACACGGATATGGATACATATAATATCAAGATTCCTGCGGATATCCACCTGTATCCACCGTATACGGATACCAAAATCCGTGTCCGGGCACAGGTCTGGTTTTAATGTTAATTATTTTATTAGTTTAAGCTTTAAATTCTCCTTTTATTTAAAAATTTAAAAAATAATAATTTTTAATATTTTAATATAAAATATATTTATTCTTATTTTTTCTTATTTTTTCTCAAATCTTTATATATTTTTTTCTTTACTTCCTCACTCCCCCTTCTCCTCTTCATTGTATATCCGCGCAGAATCAGTTTGAGCAGCACAGGTCACCACCTACCTTCCCTTCCTTTACTATATCCAAATAAAACCAAAAAAGACCGTCCACCATTGATGGTTTACCTTCAAAATTAGACCAAAAAAGAAGTGATGACCTTCCTATTTATTTGCCCTCTCGACATTTTATCCAACACACAAAACATTAAATAAAAAAAAGAAAAATTTTTTAAATTCTAATAAATATTTCTTTGATCAATTAAATTAGTACAAAAAACGTCATAATTAATTAAATATTGTAGAAATTAATGAGAATTACTAAAAAGCCTTGAATATTTTTTGTTTAAATAAATTTTTTGTTTAAAGAAAAATAAATTACTTTAATTAATTAATTAGTACCCAATTCTTAAATTAGGTAAGTACATTCAAAATTTTTTATTACAAAATTAAATTTAAAAAATTATTTTCTTCACAAATATTTGTTAAAAGATTTTCATATTTATTTAAAGTATAATAGAAAATATTAAAATTAAAAATATTAAAGTTCCTTGAAAGTAAACTTTTGATAGCATTCCTTGAACAAAAATTGTTTATTAAATTTATTTGTTATCTTTCCCCATTAGACCACCAAGAAAATTTTTTTCTATCAAATAATTGAACGCTTCATTTAATTTTTATTTAATTTAATATTTATCTCTTTTCGTTACCTAAAAAAGTGTTCACTTTTTTCTTTAAAAATAAAAAAATTTTAAACCAGTTTCTAAAACTTTTACTTTTTTTATTTTAAAAAACAAGTTAAAAATTAAACAAAACAAAGAAGTTTATAAATATTATATATATATATTTTTTTAATTTAAAATAAATAAAAACAAAAATATTAACAAATAAAATTATTAAATATTTATTTTAAAATAATATGTATTTTCTTTTTGTTTCCAATAAAATTAAATATTAAAAAAATTATTAAATATTTTTTTTATTTTTAGTTTTTCATTTTTTAATTTTTATTTATTAATTTTAAAGATCTCCTTCCCAATTAATTTTTAAAAACAAAAAAATTATATTTAATTTTCCCTAAATTAATTTATTTTCTATGCCTTCTTCACCAATTTTGCTTTCATTATCAACAATATTTGCTTTGATTGGATTTTCGCTTGTTGTATTATCTACATTTTCTGACCAATGGTTGGAATATCAAGTACTAGTTTTTAATTTAAATTAATTTTTTATAAAAAAATTATTTTATTTAATCTCTCGTTAAAATTAAAACCTTGACCTGCTTTCTTTTTAAATTAAATATTTATGATTTTAACGGGTAAATGTTAAGAGAAATATTTTTAAACAATTAAATACTAAATCTTGAAAAATATTGTTAAAATAAAAAAAAAATATCTAAAAAACTAAATAAATATAATAAAATATCATTTAAAATTAAAGGTTGATCGCAAATTTTTAATTGAAAGGAAGGCAGAATTAGACAAAAAATATGAACGGCATTTTGTCTCAGATCCTCTTTTCTATTCACGTAATCAAGGATTGGCACATCTTTGTTTTCCTGATTTAGTGCCCAATTGTTTGTTTTTTTTTTAATTTTTATTATCTAAATATAACTGTACTTTGAATAGCTCTTGGAGTCAGCTCCGGCTATTCAGTTTTTCTTTATAAAAATTGGAACTGGATTTAAACTCAAAATATATTATTAAATTGTCAATAAAAAATTTTTAATTTAGCTATTGGCTCTTATTCTAAATTTGGTTCTGTATGTATTACTAGCCCAGATTTATGGCCTGATTCTGCACAAACACAAAAATATAATGGAGCACAAGTAATTTGTTTTTAAATAATTTAATCAAAAATTAATATTTTAGATGCAACGTTTGTGGATGCAAAGAGGAATGATTTGTTTATTTATTGTTGGTTTATGTGTTTGTGTATTAGCTTTGGGTGTTGGGATTGTTGGCTGTTATAGAAGAAGTCCTAAACTTGTTGGGTGGACTGCAATGATGTTTTTACTTTCGGGTAGGGGAAAAGGAAAGGATTTTTTAAAATTAAAGTTTTTTGCAGTTCTCTTTATGATTTTTGGCATGCTTCTGTGGCACTATGTAAATTATATGGAGAGAAAAGTTTTGGATATGTATCCCTTCTATCAAGATTGGCCTCGAGTATTTCTCTAAACATTTATTTAAATAAAATTACAAATTTTCAAGTCATTAAAACAAGCTACCCGAATAACTTTTGGTTGGTCATATATTGTTTGTTGGGTAGGTATTGGATGTTCAGCATTTACTGCCTTTCTTTTATGGCTTAGTCGGCGTGCAATTCGTGATGAAGAAGAAAGTTTATATGAACAAAAACATGCTCAATATTTGCAACAACAATATTATGGAGGGGGAGCTCCCGTAAATTTTTAATAATTTATTTTAAAGACTTAGGGAAGTAATGGAAGTAATTTGATTAAGCTCATTAAATAATAAAAGTAATTCAAAGTCATTTTATCAGGGAGTTTTGTTTTGGTTTGTATATTCCGAGACAGTCCAGTTATATTAAATACTTCCAAGTATCGAAACTATATATTGTTATTAATCTAAAAATTTCAAAAAATATTTTTTTCAAATTTTTCAAGTCTGACAAATCACTTGTTCCATTAACTGCCGCTACACTTCCCCCTCATTATGGGTATGGAACTTATGGTTATGGGGGTTATCCTGCCTATTATGGACAATATGCAGCATCTCCATATGGATTATATGGAGGGTATTATGCACCTGTTTAAATCAAAAATTCTTGGAAATTAAAAGAAAAATTAAAAAAATAAACGAAATTAATAAAGCCATTTTTATTTTAATTATTTTTAATATTTTGATAATTAACCTCTCTCTTTCTTTATTTTTTTATAATTAATTTGTAATTTTAATAAATTTGTTTTATAAATATAATCTCTTTCCATTATTTATTTACTTGCATAAAAATAGAAAAAAATGTTTTTGTAAAAGTAAACCCGTACTAAAGCCCCCCTAAAATAACGACTAATCGTAAAGATAGGTAGATAGTCTCCTTTTAATCTTTATTTATTTTAAATAAATTATTTAAATTAAAAACAATATTTCAAAAAATTAAAAAAAAATTTATTTTTTATTGGTTACACCTAATTCTTCTCAAAAGTTGCAACCTTAATAATTCTGAGGCTTCATTTCCAATAAATACATGTGAGGGATTATCAACAAGTCGATGAAGTAATTCACTAAAAATTAATTCATTTTTAAAAGAATATTTTATTTCATTACATATTGCTAAGTTGCCCAATACTTAATGCATAAAATTGTAAATTAGGTAAACTTCTAATAGCCTCTGCTTGTTTAATTGCATCGTCCTGAGAAAATCCTTTAGAAAAAATACAAAAATTATTCAACATATTAAACTAACCATCACTCAAAAGAATTACAATTATTGGGACCTAAAAAAATATTTTAGATACTATTAATTTTCAAAAATATTATTAAGTACTTGTCGTCTACGTTCTTCTAATAATTTAAGTGCTTGTTTAAGTGCTTGACCAATATATGTTGTTCCAGTTATATGTCTAACCTTTAATTATTAAAAAATATTATTTTAAGGGTATTAATTAATTAAATTGTAAAACAATATATGTATAAATAATTTTCCTTCCAAAAAGCTACTTATTTCTCCTAAAATAATATTAAAATTATCGAGAAAACAATTTTTAGTCCAATATTTAATTTAAATAAAAATTATTTAAAAAAATTAAAATTAACGTTTTTATGAAAATTTTCCATCATTTGCCAATTTTTTCTAAAATGATCCCACTCCCATTCAATTTTCTGTAAATCAGAACTAGCAAATTGAATTAAAGCTACTCGATGTCCACATAATTGATTTAAATTTATTTTATTATTATTTATATTTTCTTCATTTAAATCATCATTTAATTCAATATTTTCCAATAAATGTTGTAACCAATCTTTTTGGGCTTCGTAAATTTTGTGAACAGAACCACTTGAATCGACAATAAATAAAATATCTAATGGAGGGCAAACAACTAGAAAAAATCATAATTATTTAAATAAAATAATTAGGGTTGGGGGAGTCGGAAGATCGAGTTGGGTGTCGAAGCCCGGTCTCGATGTCCACATAACCTCAGAAAACCCCAACCCTAAAAAATAATTAAAGAATATCTACCTCTTTGTTGTGTTATTCCAAATGTTTTAGGTTTTTGTTGAACAGAAGGTATATTAATTTTTGTTGTTGGAGGTTGTTGAATTGTATAAAATTCTATTGTTGTTTTTGCTGTTGTTGTTGTTGGTAATATTTTATATTTTTGTGTTGTTTTTGTTGTTTCTGTTAAATTTTTGGTTGGAATTAAATTTTTGTAAATTTTTGTTGTAAATAATATTTTTGGTGTTGTTGTTATAACAGGTTGATTAGTAGTTTTTGTAAATTTATTTAATCTTTTTATGAAAAAAGTAAAAATATTAGAAAATAAATTAATGATTGTATAAAATCTAATTAAGAATAAATAAGAGGTTATGTGAAATATTTAATATCGATGCCCACGGACACAGAAAATCACGGTTACCGTTACTGATATCAGCATGAGCCATTAATATTCGGTAAAAGAATAAATCAAAAATTATTATTATTTCAAAAAATTTCTCAAAAGATTTTTAAAAAATACCTAAAATTATTTTTTAAATTATTAACTTCCTCTTTTTTACTTTTTTCAGCTTCTTCTCTATTAATTTTTTTAATTTTATTAATCATTTCCAACATTGAATTTGATTTTAATAATTGTTTGTTTTGTTGTTCTCCTTCATTATTAAATTCAAAGAAAAATTCAATTGAAGGTGTAGGCCTTAAACGTTGTGCAATTGCAACAGGTAATTCTACTTTAACTGGAAATGTTTTTGGTAATTTATTTGTTGTTGTTGTTGGTGTGGTTGTTGTTGTATAATTATTATATTTTTGTGTTGTTAAAAATGGAGAGGATGAAGGTAATAATGGTGGTTTTTTAGTAAATGATGATAAACCTTTAATTTTAAATTAAAAAATATTTTTTAGTCAGGAATAGCATTTCCAATCCTGGTATTTTTTCTTAAAATATTCTGAAAAATTTATCTTTAGTGGAATAAAAAATAATATTTAAATATGTACCGATGCCTACTAAAAATCATATAAAAATTCTTTAAATTTAGCACCCAACCCCTGTAGGTTATTTATAAAATAAATATTTATCAAGTCTATCTCTCAGATATAATTATTTTCAGATTTTAATCCTTCCTACCTAATATTGGTCGATATCGAGAAATTGAAAAAGAGGGCGTAGTTATAGAATTTATTGTTACTCCGGTAGATGGTCTTCTAATTTGGCTAGTTGGCCTTGAATTTTCTAAAGGATCAAAAACATCTAGTTCATCGGCATTTATTAAAGACGGTATTTTAAAAGCTGCAGCATTATTAAATAATAAAGCCTGTTCTCCATCAATGCTTATATCTTGCTTTAGAAAATATTATTTTTTAGTAATTTAATAATTAAAAATATTTTTACTTCATCTTGTTTTGAATTTTGAGGCATTTTATTATTAAATTCTTCTTCTATTGGTGTATTTTCATTTCCTTTTACTACAAAATATCCAAATATTTTCTTTCAAAAATTAAAAAAATAACCCTCAAAACTTTTTCCAAAATTTTTTAGTTCCTCCTTTTCTTCCTCATTTTTATTTAATTTATTTATTTCTTCATTTCCTTCTTCATCTATTCCAAGCATTTCAGCTGCCTCAATACGTCTTTGTTGCAGAAATGCTTCAGCCCCAAAATTATTATCATTTGATTCCCCAATATTATTATTTAAACGATCTCTATTCTCTGCCAAAGCAAAAGCACCCCCATTACTTGCTTTACCAATATTTTGTTGATTTGTAGATGGGCCATTACGTCTTTGCCCATTAAATGCTTCATCCCCAATTCTTGAACATGCTCTAGCACGTTCTGCTTCTGTTAAAATTGATTCTCGAAGTTGAGGCAATTCTTTTTGGCTTTAAAAATTAATAAATAGATTAACTAATTTTTATATAAACCCCTAAGGGTTTAAAAAATTAAAAGTTTAAGTCCGTCCTAAAACAGACCCATCTAATGTAAGAATTTTCATTTAGTTAGGGGTTTTAACAATCATTTAAAATTAAATTCAAAAAAATCTCTCACCTAAAAACATTATTTTCATCAAAATTAGAATTATTTGCTTTAATATCAATAATTGAAGCAATAAATATTTTAAAGTCTTTTATTTCATTTAGTTTATGTTCAAGCATAATTTCATTAAAAATATTTGGATTGTTAGTAAAAATAATAATAACCTTAAAGAAAAAAAATAAAATTTTTAATTTAAATTATTTTAAAAAATTCTTTCTACCTTTGCTGCATCTTTACGTGTTTCTCTATCCTGCCTAAATAATTCTGATTCTGCTTTACGTACTGCATATCTTTTTTTAAATAAAAAAAAATAAATTTTAAAACTTTTTAAAATACCCAGTTCTAAATGTTTGTTGAAATTGTAATTTTTGTCGAATATCTTCACCCAAAGAAAATTCTTTTAAAGGAAATCCCAGATATTTTGCTGCTGCTACACGTATAGCATCCTTTTTGAAGAAAAATTATTATTTTAATATAAAAATATATAATCTAGAATATTTTCTTTAATTGAACAGCCAGCCGTTCTATTTTACAATCACTTCTTAGAGGGAGATTATAAAATATAAGATGGCTATTCAATTAGAGAAAATACATATGTTATTTGCTCTACTTACATGCTCTAAAGGAAGTGATTCCATTAAAGATATAGCCCAACGTACATGTTCTATATATATTTTATCAATATTATCATTACTATTATTTGAATCGAGAAGAAAAACAACATCTACTTTTGGTTGACAACGTTCAACAACAATTCCTTCATCTTTAAATAATTTTAGAATTGTATAAAATATTTGTATTTATTATAAAATTTAGGATAACAGTCAGCAGAGGGAGTTGGAACATCGAAAGTTCGGATAACGGAAGGAAGATTTTACACATTTATTTAAAACACTCACTTTTTTGTCTATTAATCATTTCTATCATTCTGTTTTGCCTTTTTCCTTCATTTTTATAATTTATTATTTCTTCATAATCATCTTTCCAACGGTTTTGTCCAGTATATTTATAAATTTGTTTTTCATTTAAAAATTTATTTTCATCATTTTTAGTTAAATTAATAATTATTTCTGATTTATTTTTTATATTATTTTCTGTTTTTAATTTCGTTAAATTTAAATTATTTTTTGTTTCACTTTCAAAAAAATTTATTTCAGAATTATTATTCAGAATTGTTGTTTCTAATATTTTATTTTCTGTTTTTAATTCTTCTGCTTTTAATTTTGATTCTGTTGTTGTTGTCTTCTCTAATGTTGTTTTTAATGTTTCTTCTGTTGTTTTTATGTTTGTTTCTGATACTAATAATTCTGTTGTTTCTGAAGTTTTCCCTTCTTTTTCTGTTGGTGTTTCTGTTGTCTGTTCTGGTTTTTCATTTAATTCTGATGTTTTTGTTGTTGGTATTTCTATTGCTGTTTTTGTTGCTTCCACCGTTGTTTCTATTTTCTCTATTTTTGTTTCTGTTGTTGTTTCTACTTTATTATTATCAATAATTTTTGCTATATTTAAATTATTAATTTCTTCATTTACTAAATTATTGTCAAAGTTTTTTTCTTCAATTTTATTTGAAATATTTCTTAAAAAATTTTCTTCTTCTTCATATGGCTCTCTTGTTTTTTCTATTAAATTTTCTGATTTTCTTATTATTTTTGTTTCATTATTTCCCTCATTTCTGTCCGTTATTGTTTCTTCTTTCTTATTTTCTAACAAATTATCACTAATATTTAATTCTTCTTTTGATTTATTTAACAAATCTTTTATTAAAAATTTATCTAAATCTTCATCAATTTCTTCATTAATTGTTTTATTTAAATTTGTTTCAATATTATTTATTTTTACTCCCAAATTATCCTCATTTTCACTATTTTTATTATCAAATAAATTATTTGTTAATATTTCTTTATTTAAATTAAAAGCCTCAGTAATTCCTATATTTTCTTCATTTTGAATTTCTTCACCAGACCCATCAACATCATTTTCTTCTCCTCCTTCTTCTTCCTCTTCTTCATTCTCTTCAGATTCAATTTCTTCGTTATTCTCCAATTTTTTTATTTTTTCTGATTTTCTATCCAACATTAACAAAGAATCTAATTGTTCTGCACTAGCATCTAAAAACTCTCCTTCTCCTCCTTCTTCTTCATTTCCAATTTTGTAATTCTGTTCATCATTATTTTGGATTAAATTTTGTTTTTCTATTTCCAATTCTGTTGAAAAAACCTTCTTCCCTTTCTGCCCTAACAGAAGAAAAATTAAAACAATTAAAATGTTGAAATAATATTGAAATGAAAAGGAGGAAAATTTAATTAATAATAACATGGTAATACTGAAATTTATAATAAATATTAAAATATATTTAAATTGATTAAAATAAAATAATTATAGAGGGTTTTTGAATATTATTTGTTTTTTTGTTGAATTGAAAAAATAAATTAAAATTATCTCGACTATTTAAATAGAAATTTTCAACTTTGTTTTTATGGATTGAAAAATAAAAATTTAATTAAAAAGTTTATAGAATATTTATAAGTGAGAGAAAGATGTACTAAACCTTAAGTTATTAAATAATTTTTAATATTCAGATATTTAATTATTCAAAAATTCCTTAAAAAGAGAAGAGCCAATTTTATTTAAAAAAAATAAATTCTTAATCCTTTAATTATTTTAGCTTTTCTCATATTTTTATTTTTCTCCGTTTTCTCATCAGAACATCAATCAGCCAGCCGAGTTTTACTTTCGTTTTTAACCTTCACCGCGAAATGCTGCTTTTCTTGAAAAAAATGGGTCGTTGTTTTATTGGCGTAATCAGTGGGAAAAGGGAAAGATAAAAAAATAAATATCAATAAATAAAATTGTTCCGGCACTGACTATTAATCATAATATGTAAAAATATTTTTATAAATTTTAAAATCTTGAAGGTAAAAATCGAATGAAAATAAAAATATTAATTTATAAAATTAACTAAAAGTCTAAATTTGCAATCTCAGCCTAGCAAATAAAGCAAAAATGAAAACAGTAAGTTGGTGTCGGGATAGTTGAACAATCTTGAATTGGAGAGACTTCAGGATCAAATCACTTTCCATCTATTTCTATATGGATTCAATCACATTACTAAATCTTTTGACGAAGATTCAGGCTTATACATTGCTCGCTCATCAATTCTGGGGAAGTTGAGTGTCCGTCAAAAACAACAAATAAAAATTTTATTAACAGTTTTTTAAAATTTTTGGCCTTATTGGCGATTTTGATAAGCGAAATGAAGAGAATGACTCTTATTTTCTTGATAAATTTTACTTATGTATTTAACTCGGTCTTTAATTAGAATTTTGTGTTTGAAGAAAAAAGTCGAGATCAAGACATCCTTAAGATAGAAAAACCTCAAGAAAAGTTTTGAGTTGAATGACTTGAATTTTGTAAAGAAAAGAAAACACAAAAAATTACAATAAAAATATCCAAAAATTCATGTACTCTGAATCGTCCACTTTTTTGTACTTTGAATTTACTCTGAATTGGCTACACTGAAACGTTCACTTCCAGTTTATTTGAGCGCTATTTTTTCCTTGCTATAACAATGAAAAATTATTTTATGTTTACCTTCCTTCCGCTTAAAAATTTTTTTAAAAATGTTTTTATTTGATGACTTTTTTTTAATTTTCTGTTCATTTATGAGAAATTAGGTAATGGTGCAGAATTGGGGAGACACCTTAAAAACACCTTAAAAATTTTTAGTTTTTTCTGCAAACAATTTTATATAGGTAATCGACCATGCTGATCACGAATCCGAGCTTAGAATTTGTTTATTTCGAACCCGGACCCGAATTCGACCAAGTCGAATTCGGGGTAAGAATTCGAAATTAAAAATTAAGGGCTAATCTGACACGCCTATTTGAGCCGAGTCGAATGGTATCAAAATTATTCAGTTTCGACAACTTTGGACGAAGTTATGATCAATTAAATAACGTTTGGTTAGACTTCCGTATATAAATCAGACACCATAACTTCGTTTAAAATGGTCGAAACCTAATAATTTTGCTACCATTCGACTCAGAATAATGAGACGAGTCAGGATAACTGTAATATCGTAATTTTGAATTTTTTACCCCGAATTCGACTTGGTCGAATTCGGGTCCGGGTTTCGAAATAAACAAATTCTAAGCTCGGATTCGTGATCAGCATGGTCGATTACCTATATAAAATTGTTTGCAGAGAAAAAATAAAAATTTTTAAGGTGTTTTTAAGGTGTCTCCCCAATTCTGCACCATTACCAGAAATTAATCTTATTGTCATACTTTATTTAGACTACTTTTCAAGACTTATATTTTATTTATATGATTGCCATATAACTTTCATCTAATTAATAAAAAATTAAACTACTGAATTAAATGCCGAAAAGAAAGCGAATTTTAATTGATTCTGAAGACGGAGAAGAAATGGATTCTGAGGAAGATGAAGAGGAGGTTCTTATTTTTATAAAATTTAGTCTTATTTTTAACTAAATTAAGAAAGAATCTCGTCGCTATCCACGACGGGCTATCAGCAAACTTTCATCAAAAAATCGCCCTTTGCGTCGGTCACGACGTGTGAGACGTCCATTACATATGTTTACTGAAGATGAGGAAATGGAGTATGAAGAAGATGAGGAAGAGGTTTTGGCTTGTTTTTATATTTTAATTTAAATTTTAAAAGGAGTCTCATCGATATCCGCGTCGTTCACGTAATAAGATTAAAAATGAAGAAATGATTTATGAAGAGGACGATGATGAAGAGGTATTGGAGGTATTGGGTTTTATTCTGTAGAATTTTAATTCAATTAATTTTAGAAGGAATCTCGTCGTTATCCCCGCCGTTCTAGTAATAAAATTAAAAACGAGGAAATGGTTTATGAAGATGACGAAGATGACGAGGAGGAGGTTTAATTTTTTACCATTTAAGTCAAAATTTTAGAAGGTATCTCGCCGTTATCCACGTCGTGCCAGTAATAAAATTAAAAATGAGGAGATGGTTTATGAAGAGGACGAAGATGACGAGGAGGAGGTTTTGTTTATTCTTTAATAATTTAGTCCAACTTTTAGAAGGAATCTCATCAATACCCACGCCGGTCCGGCAATAAAATTAAGGAAGACGAAATGGATTATGAGGAGGACGAAGATGAGGTTTTACTTTATTCTTTACAATTTAATCCTAATTTTAAAGGAGGATTTAAAAAAAAATTTTTTAAATTTTTTAATTTTTTTTTCCTCTAATTTTAAAGGAGGAGCCTCGTCGATATCCACGCCGTTCTAATAATAAATCAAAAAACCGTCCTCTACGACGATCGCGTCGAAGGCGTCGTCAAGTTTTTGGGACTTCTCGTCGGAACAATTCATTGTTAAGTTCTTACAAAATTAATCATTTACAACGACTTCCGCTCAATTCTGTTCTAGATATTCGAAGAAACCAATGTTTGTTTTTTTTTGTTTTCTCATTTATTTGTTTTAATTTATAGCTCGTTCTGTTGTTCCTCATCGACATCGTAAACTTGACCATTGTTCAAGCAGTACTGTTTCATCTACATCTACGTCCTCGAATGAAGCACCAACTGAAGCACCTATTAATAAACGTACTACTCGTCATCGAGCTTTACCTAAAGATTTACGCGATGAAGCTAATTTCGAAAAACGTAAACTTCAATCTTTAATGAAAGGACGACGTGAGCTGATGCCTATTAATGTAAACGGTATAGTTATTTTTGACCCTAAACACAGTTTATGTCTCCGTGACCAAACCAAACTCCTTTTTATGAACCTAATAAAATTTTGTAATAATTTTTAATTGAAGAAAAGGAAGCAAAAACTTGTTCAATTCTTTCTATGGCACAGGAAAATGTTCGTCGTAAAGCTAATCGTTCAAGTTGTGCTGATATTGATCCTATGAGTATTGACCATGATGTAGGCTTTGAGCAAATTGGTGGACTCAGGTCTTTTTTAATTTTTATAAAATTTAAAATTCAAATATTTAAGTCGTCATATTCAACAACTCAAAGAAATGTGCCTTTTCCCAATGCTTTATCCTCATGTTTTTGAACACTTCAGCATTCAAGCTCCGAAAGGGGTTCTCTTTTATGGACCACCAGGTTCTTCTTAATTTTATTATATAAAAATATTTTACTTTTTAGGTACCGGAAAAACTTTGGTGGCTCGTGCTCTGGCCAACGAATGTAGCAGATCTTGTGAGGGAACAAGTAATTCAACTGAAGATACAAATATTACTTACTCTTCTATGAGGAAACGTGTTGCATTTTTTATGCGTAAGGGAGCTGATTGTTTGAGCAAATGGGTAATAAATTTTCTAAATACTTTTCAATTATTTTTCCACAAAGGTTGGCGAGTCAGAACGACAATTACGACTTCTTTTTGATCAAGCTTACAGAATGAGACCTTCAATAATATTCTTTGACGAGATTGATGGACTTGCACCGGTTCGTTCTTCACGTCAGGATCAAATTCACTCATCAATTGTCTCTACACTTTTGGCTCTTATGGATGGAATTGATTCACGCGGAGAGGTCTTTTAAATTGATTTTTTGTTATTATTTTCGTAATATATGTATAATAGGATTATACTTGGTGTTAACAAGCATGGGCGTATTTAAGGGTTGGATTTTATCTCGACACCTTTGATATTTAATTACAACAAATCTTAATTGACTTGTGAAAAATTTATATTTATTTCATTAGGTCATTGTTATTGGTGCAACTAATCGCCTTGATTCAATTGACCCAGCTTTACGCCGCCCTGGACGCTTTGATCGTGAATTACGTTTCGATCTGCCTGACTGCATAGCTCGCAATCAAATTCTACAAATCCACACACGCAGATGGCCAGAAGAGTGTCAACTTTCTACTGAATTGCGTGAATGGTTGGCTGAGGAATGTAGTGGTTATTGTGGAGCTGATTTAAAGGTTAGAGCATCCAAATCTTTATTCAATTTATATTTTAGGCCCTTTGCACAGAATCTGTATTAATAGCTATGAGGGAACGTTATCCCCATATTTATTTGAGTGAAGATAAATTACACCTTGATCCTACACAAATAAGAGTATCTCGTCAACATTTTGTTGATGCATTACGAGTTATTTTACCAGCTTCGAGAAGAGGTTTTCTCTTTATTTTTTAACTTTATTTTGAACTTATTTTTATAGATGGTACATTAATAAGTATGACTCGTTCTAATAAAGCGAGTTTGCTTACTTTGATTATGCCCACAATTAATGAGCTAATGACCTCTAAAATCCCAGTTGGTTATCAACGGAGAAATGATGATGACCTTACTACTTACAAGAATGGAAATAATAATTTATCGAGAGACCAGCAGCTGGAACAAATACTATTAGCTATAAAAGCGCGATCTTCAGTACCTGCTGGTATAATATCTAATACAAAGGGAATGTCTAATATAACGGAATTTAGCTAGGTTACTGCTTCACGGCTCTAGTAACAGTGGACAAGGAACTCTTTTTTTCTCAGCTCTTCTTTCTCGACTTGATCATTTGCCAATATTTTTACTTAATTGTGAGCAGTTATTTTCTGGAGGCATTGCTGGAACTCCTGAGGAACAAATTCAACAGACTTGTAGAAGAGCGCGTCTTTCAACTGGTCAAGGAACGCCTGTTGTTTTGGCTATGCCTGATTTGGATGTTTTAGAGGAGATTTTGCCTAGACCAAGTTGGAAAATGGTTAAACCCATTAAAATTAATGGTCTAAAATTATTTTTAAATGTTTCAGTTAATCTCTTCATTATCCGCTTTTACGGGATTTAATTCGGCTCTTTTACTTGCAGCAGTTCAAAAAGAATATGAGTACCTCTCTGATGATATTAAACAACTTTTTAGATCTCGTCATGCTTATCCTATTTTATTGCCCAATTACAGTGCAATTCAAAATTTCTTCGATGCAATTGTGAAACAAGCTACTGAACATCCCTTCCGTTTTAAATGTATAGAAACACGTTTTTTTATTTTTTTCAAATTTAATTTTAGCCAGAGATTGTCCAGAGCCGCCAAAGGCCCAACATGTAGATCCTTCTCAACAGCCACCTATAAGACGTGTTACTAAAGCTGAGTTCAAAGAATTAAATAAAATCTATTCTCAAATGTTGCGAGAATTTCGTATATTTCTCCGGGATTTGTTGCGTAAGTTTTTTCCTCCATCTTTTTCTAGTTAATTGATTTTTTCAGGTCAGTTAATTCGTGATCAACGTTTTAAGTGCTTCCATCTTCCTGTTGACAAATCTGACGTTCCAGATTATTATGATATTATCAAGGAGCCTATGAGTTTAAGTCAAATGGTTTATTATTTTTCTTTGAATATTTCATTTATGTCAAGAATTCATTTTTTATTTTTTTGCAGATGCTTAATATTGATATGCTTAAATACGATTCACCTGAACCGTTTATGCATGACTTACGTCTTATTCGTGATAATGCAATCGAATATAATCCCGACCATGAGATGGAGGATTTACAAATCAAGCATACTGGTCGATGGTTAGTAGAAATGGCAGAGGCATTATTTGAGATGGAGCTGAACGACGATTTCAAGGAGAAATTAGAGGTATGGAATCTGAAAAATTTTTGATTTTAAAGCAAATTATTTTTAGGATGCTCGTAATCTTATCGAAGAAGCTGCGCACAGTTTAGACCAACAAAATAAAGATCAACAAGAGAAAGTCAGCAACACCAATGAAGATATTGCCCAACCTCTTCTTCCATCGGTCACTTCAACACCTCCAAAAAACAGCGATAATAATTTGGAGGAATCATTACAGAATGGCCATGCTTCCGTTGAGATTCCTGCGAAGAGGTCTAAAAGAGAACGTTCTTCGAAAAAATCATCCGTTGATAATAGTGAGGCTTCGTCCTCTAAAACTATAAATTCAGCAGAGGCTTTAGAAGTAGAAGAGAAGGAATGTTCATCTCCGTCTTCCTCCAATTCCAATCATTCAACTAATGGATTTATTAATGGATTTATTAAATCTTCATTAAATATTAATGGTGACTTAGAAAATGGTAGAGATAATGCTGTTGAAATAGAGCAAGATTTTATATTAGATCTGCATAGTTTAAAAACTGTTGTAGAGAAGGTATAGAGATTAGTCCAATTTTGTCTATAATTATTTTAAGGCAGTAGTTAAATCAAGTACAGAGGCATGGCATGTACCTGCAATTGAAAGTCTTGGTAAATTATTTAAATGTTTTCTTAACTTAACAAAAACCTAAATTTAGGTGCTGAATTGGATCAGATTATTGGTGAATTTAGAAATGAATGGAATCGTTCCCAGCTTCCACAGCGACTGTTAGCATGTATTGAGAGCTTTCAAATTTAAGCAAAATCAGTCTTTTAATCTCCTTTATTTGAATTATTTCCATTTTAATTTTGATAATATTTTTCTGAAATTTTTGATTGTGTTATAAATATAATGACTTGACAAAATTTTATTGTAATTTCTCATTAATTGGTAAAAACCTCTTAAAATATATTTACATATTTGTACAAAATTTAAAGAAATCTACAATAAAACTAAGAAATCTAGAAAAGTTAAAAAATAAACGTGAATAAATGACAAGAACCCCATCAGTAAAATTTGATAAAGTCGATGAGTTCTCTTTTCTGATTGCCCCTCTGATTTTACAGTTGTTGTTATTGGCCAGGGCCAAATAGCGGGAGTAACAGATGGAGAAAGAAATTGAACGTTGCCGGTTGGTCCTCCAGCAACCACGGGAATTGTACAACATCTTAAATATTGCCTTATGATTATGGATCTTTAGTTTAAAGACTAACGTTCCTTGCACGCATTCTGTGCTTGGATTCTTCTCAATGCAAGCCTTATTATCTGTGCATGGCAAATTAGTTGTAAACCCATGATTTGCGCAAAGACCCCACATTGGACATGCTAAAATTATTATAAATTTTTATAACAACCAAACACTTCTCAAAAAAATAATTTATAACTTACGCCAATCTGAATGAAAAATATATGGGGGAATACCACAAATGTATCGGGAGAATTGACGTTTTTTGCGGATAATCGTTTCTTTTGTATTTTTATCTTGAACTACAATTTTTTCTTTTGTGTTTTCTAATCCCGCCGTTATGTTTGGATTTAATAAATAAATTGAAAAATATGTCAAAATTGTTAAGAAATTCGCTAAATACTTTTTCATTTTTAGATTTTGTAAAATAATTAGATAAGAAAGGATTTTAAAAATATTATTTAGTCTCTCTCACTCACTCATTGCCTCGAATCACCCTCCACTCAGTCAATATATTAAATTTTTTGTTGGCACAGCAGTCACGTATACATATTATATTGATTTAATGGATTGTAAAATTACAAAAAACAAAAAATAGGTATACAAATTAGGTATTTCTGTATTTTACAGAAATCCCCCCCCCCCCTCCGTTCATTTACATTTAATTGGTTCAGACTCGGTTGTCTCCAACGTTTTTACTTATTTTGTTTTATTTCATTTTTCAGTTTTTACATTATTATTTTTTAGATATATTTTTCAGAATAATTTTATAAAAAAAATGTCAATTTTGGATAAAATAAAGGATATTGAGGATGAGGTTTTTAATTAATTTTTTTATTAAAATAAAAAAAATATTTTTTAGATGGCTAGAACTCAAAGAAACAAGGCTACAATGGTTTTTGTTATAATTTTATAAAATTAATTTAAAAATTCTAAGGGCCATCTTGGTTTGTTAAAAGCTCGGCTTGCTAAATTACGGAGGGAATTAATTAGTCCGAAAGGTTTTTTTATTAAAATAATTTTTAATAAATTCTTAATATAAATTAAACATAAGATATATTTAAATTATATGAAATACATAGCAAAAAATATATCTATTATGTAGAAAAAACTTATGAGTTAAAAACACTTAAAAATTAATTAGTTAAATTCTCATATTTTTTAATTAGAAAATTTTAAGGTGGTGGCGGAGGTGGTGCTGGTGAAGGATTTGATGTTGCCAAGACAGGCGATTCGCGAATTGGTTTTGTTGGTTGGTTAATTTTTTTAAAATTTAGAAATTTTGGCAGTATACGGAATGAATGCTTTTTCCTTTTATCCTAAAAAGTTTTTTTTCTTTTTGTTAATTTTGTTGTAAGTAAAAAACAAAACAATTTATACACAAAAATAAAATAATCGAAAATAAATAATTATTACATCTTTTCCATTATTTTTATTTTAAATCTTTTTCTCGATCCGAAAATCGGACATATTTTTCATCAATATTTCTAAACAAATTTAGACATAAATTGTTTTTGAAAAAAATTAAAGAAAATTTTTTTATTTTTTTGTGTACAAAGGTATCCTTTTGTTCCATTTTCCTAACACCAAAATCAACAAACAAATTATAAAATAAAAAGATTTACCATTCCTATTTATTTGAATAAAAAAGGCATTCATTTCATATTCAGTCGAAATTTTTTTTAATTTTAATTTAATAAATTTAAAATTACCTTTTTCTAAAATTTCCTTCTCTGCTTTTAACGGGAAGGACAGGATTCCACTCACAATCGAATAACTAGCTAATGCTTTACATTTTCCCTCCAAATAAATGCTTTTTTAAATTTATTTTAATTTTCTATCAAATTTAATTTTTTTTATTTTTTCCATAATTTATTTAATTTAAAAAAAATAAAATTTAAAAATCAAAAATATTTTTAAAAAAATCACAGAATTATTTATTTTTATTTTTCTTCAAAACTTTTTGTTGTTTTTTGTATCATTGGAGATTCTAAAAGCCTTTCATAATGATGCCTTTCCAAAATTGTATTTTCTTCTTCTTCTCCTTCCCCCTCCTCTTCTTCATCACTTTCTGGACTACTTGTTGCATTACTTTTTCTTTTAATATTTTCTTTTTTATTTAAATAATTATTTGATGATTTTTTTATTTTTTCATTTTCCTCTTCTTCTTCTTCTTCATTTCCTAAATCTAATTCTGAATCTGTTTCACTTGCCAATAAAAGTAATTTTCCGAGAAGCTTCTTTTTATTCTTAAAAATTAAATTTTACTGACAATGATATTTTCTCTAAGAATTTTTCTGGACTTTTTTTAATCAAAAACTTCTTTTCCCTGACTCGTATCTGATAACTGTTAATTTCTCACTGTATTTGTTTTTCTATTTATCTTTTAAAATATCTTCGAACCTTATTTTTGAGAGCATCCAACAATTGATTTTTGGGGGTTACTGCTGCTAATGGATTTACAATTATTGTTTGTTGATCATCACCTAAAGGTACTGGAGTATCTTCCCTTGTATCATTAAAAGTTTCTTCTTCCCCTTCCTCATGTTTATCGTCTCTACTTCCCCTTCTAGAAAGTGGTCTATCAAAGGGATGTTGTTGTTGTTGACCTAATCTGGATTGAGGCCTTTCATGTAAATCAGAGGAAGCAGTTAAGAGGAATTCGCCTCCATTTGGTTTATTCTAATTAATTTTTAAATTATTTAATTATTCCTTTATTTTACCCTAAATATATCTTTTGTTGTATGTTTAGGCACATTTGATGAGTGTTCAACAGTATTTGTTGTTCCCTCATCCAACAAAACAACACTTGGAATGTTTGTATTTATTGTTACCCCAGTATTTCCAGAAAATGAGAAGCGTTTATTTGATGTTTTTCTTGTAGGCGTTGTTGTTGGAGTTTTTGTTTTTGGTGAAAATCTGAAAGTCATTCTTTGTTGTTGGTCATCATCAGATGAAAGCGGTGAACGAATATTATTTGGGGAAAGAAGAAGACTATGTCTTTTTTGTTCCATTCTTTGTTTATTGTTTGGATTTGATAGTAAAGAGGATTGTCTTCTACGTCTACTCATATCTATAATTTCAAAATCACCCCCACCACAACCATCATTAAAGTCTTCATCGTCAAAACGGCTGTCTTCTCTTGGAAGCTATTAAAAAAATTTTTTTAATTCTAGAAAATTAAGAAAAAATACTTGTGAATGGTCACACATAAAACTATTTTGATATGCAGTAACTGAACGAGAAGAGGCAGAAATAGCTTCTTCATCCAATTCCATTTTATTTTCTTCATCATCTTTAATTTTATTATTTTCTATCTCAATCCCAGAAGTTTTTGATATTTTTTTAATTTTTTCTCCACTACTACTTCCTCTTTTCCTCCATAATCTTTTTAAAGAATTTGATTCTCTTCTACTACTTCTTAAAGATTTTGATTCTGCTGAACGTTGCCCACTTGTTAATTGTCCATCATCTTCTCTATTATTATTTGAAGATGTTGAAGCAAATAATCTATCAGTACATGTTCCATAATTTCTTGAACTGCTACTTTTTTTCTTTTGATTTTCTGATGAGGGAGTTGTAGTTCCGTTGCTTTTGGATGTTTTTTGACGGCAACGAGTTTTTGATATATCACTTAAATTTTTTTAAATATTTTTCTGTATATTTATTCTTATTATTAAAACTCACTAAATTACTTTGGCGACTGCTATAGTACAGCATATTGTCATTAAAATAGCTATGACAGCAATAATTATGATCAATCTATAAAATATATATTTTTTTGTTAAATTAAAGAATTTTTTTTATTTTTTTAAATATTTTTTTCTTTAATTTTTACTTCATATTATTTACTGGTGGTCTCTTCTTTTTTAATGTTTCAATAGCAATTTGTTCTATTTTCACTCCACCTAATACACGTGGAAGTGGTGCAGTTTGTGCCGAAAGTATATATTTAATTGTTTTTGGTGGTAATGTTAATGATGAATTAATTCCACCAAAAGTATTTGCAATTTTTAAAACAACAAATGAAATTTGTGTTCTGACTCTTCCTGGAAGGTAAATAACTCGTAGAATAACAATGTTTTCACGTGTTAAAGAAGGACCGCCATCGTCGATTATTAATGGTGTTCGATCTAAAATAAATGTTATTATTTCATTCATTTTGTTCATTTACCATTTAAATTGTCCAATTCTCTTGAACTTGTTTCTAGTTTCAATCTTTGACTTCTTAATTCCGCCAAAGTACCAGGACATTCATCAGGTACCGTTTCACAATAACGGTTCAATACTTGTGAAATTCTTCGTCTTAAGTATTGCTCATGTGTTTCATTAGTTCGTAGTAAGGCAGTTAAATTAAAATCACGAACAACAATTTTGACTGCATCAAGACTTTTGCCCTATAATTTTAAAAGTATTTTTAGTTTTATTTTTTAAAAATACTTACTCCAATAAATTCATTACAATTCGGAATATTTGAAGAATCCAAATTTCCCATAGAAACATTACAAACACATTCATGTTCATCTCCAACATTACAAATTAAATCTTTTTGCTTTCTTTCTTCTTTATCCCTTAATTCTTTCCTTCTTTCCCCTTTTTCTTTTGTTGGAAATGCTTCCAAAATTGAAATAGAAAATAAGATAATAATTAAAAAGTAAAGTTGAGGTTTTATTTTATTAATTATTTTGAAGTTTTTTGTTGATTTTTGTTGTTTATTAAATTTTGTTTCTATTGTTTTTATTGCCATTATTAAAAAATCTGAAAAGTAAAATTTATTATTGAGAAGGAGAAAAGTTTAGTATATATTTTTTGAAATTAATTTTTAACTAAACAAAAAAAGAACATAAAAAATAAAAATAAAATTTAACAATTTAAATCCAAATCCCCCTCGACATTTAAATTTCTGCAAATTTTATTAGAGAGAGGAATGCAAGTAATCCATAGAGAATAAAAGCCATTTTTTAAACAAATATATTTTTATCATTTTCAAAATTAGTTACAAATATTTGTGGAGATTTCCTTTTTTGGATGTGTATTTTTGGAAGAAGTTAAAAAATGGCAAAGTTAAATTTGTTTAAATTATTAAAAAATATTCAAAGATTAAACAAAAAAGATTTTAATTTTTTTAAGGAAATAAGTAAATTTTATAATTTAAAAGATTCTGTAAATTTTGGATTACAATGATTTGCTCTTCTATTTTCTATTACATTTTTCTTACTTAAAAAATATTTTAAATTTTGATGTCATTCTATAGATAAATACATATCATTGTAATCAATTTAGGAAGATCTTAAAATTTCTTAAATTACTTTCTCTTATTCTTCTTTGATCAAATTTATTAAAAAAAATTTTTTTGAACTTTTAGAAAATTTTTTAACCATTGGATAATTAATTTTTCAGCAGTTAATAAATTTATTTGAAATAAATAAGTTTAGTCGTCATTTGTTGTTTTACTTTTCTACACTTTCCTTTGTAAATTATTGATGTATTTTTTTATTGGCAGAGGGTGGCATTTGTGGAACAGATTCACATTTCTTTTATAAAATTTTAGGGTCTAGTAAAGTGCAAGTAAAAAATATATTTCTTGGCGTAGCTGCCAGCGGTGGCTGCTGCTTGGCAGCAATTCTTTTTTTGTTTTGACTACTAGTTTAGAAGGGAATATTTGTCTCATGTTTCTGTCAGTCACTTCAGACTGGCTAACTAATTTTTTGTTTTTCTTACAATGTTTTTAGCTAATATAAGGCAATGGCATAGTTAGAGTGTTAAGCTTTTAAAGAAATGTTCTCTGTTAATAATTTGCGGATAAATAATTTTTTGCGGAAATATTCTTAATTTTTGAAAATTAATTTGTGGAACAGATTTATCTGATTTTTTTTCTATTTATTTAAAAATTTAAGAAAATTATAAAAAAAATAAAAAAATATTTGCAGTTTTTGCAGCGTTTTCACGTTTTTATCGAACGTCTTTATAATATTTTTTGCGAGAAGAGAAAGGGATAAAAGCAGATAAAGGGTTAGTAAAAAAGAGTGAAAATAAATAAGAAATATGAATATGTATTGGGCACATCTTTGCCGATATATAGTTTACACGCAGACAGGCAAAAAAATAAAAATATTTTTACAAAATAGCCCCTAGAGAATTTTAAAATGGAGTTCACGTAGTAATATTTCAAATATTTTTTTATTTCAATTGTATTTTTGTTTTTTAAAGTGTAAATTGTCTTGCAACTATTTGTTAGGTTTCTCTTTAATTTATTGAAATACTTAAGTGTTAAATAAATGGGTTAAAGAGGATTTTGAAAATTATTAAATGAAATTACAATTAAATACTCTAATTAGTAAAAAACTAAAAATTAATTTTTTACTAAAAATTATTTATTTTTATGAATTTAATTGGGTAAATAGTAGGTATCATATCTCTGCAGAAATATTTTTAGGATTTTTACTTATATAGAAAATTAATTGGAAATTATATGTCCAAAACACAACTAATTTAAATGTAATTGTCAGTTTTTCTTTTTTTACTCTCAGCGTGTATTTTTGTTTGGTATTTTTCGTATTAGTATAGTAGATGAATTACTTAAGAATTTACGTGTAAAAAGTGTTCATGCGTTTGATATTTAAAAAAGGAATGAATAAAATTGAAAGAATTAAAGGAGAGAAATTGGCAATAGCTTTTTATGATATGTTTATTTTTCCATTAAGAATTTCGGTTTTGGTTTAAAGTTGTAGTTGTTAAAGAAAAATGGACTTTATTGAGACATGAGAATTTGGAATGAATTTAAAAGTATTGGGAATTTTTTGTTTTTTCTTTAAGACCAGCAAAAGAGTAAAAGTTTTGTCTTATCAGTTTAGATTAAGTCGATTTATTTTTCTTCTTAGAGATGATTAGAATTTTGTTTTTAAGTGATTTTTTGATAAGGAAATATTTACACGTTTTGGCAAAAAATAATTTATTAGGATTAAATAAACAATAATCAATTCGTTCCCATGGATTCAGTAATTTTATTGTTCACCGGGAACATTGGCATTTTCACTTTTACCACCAACAAATATCTAATAAACTAACAACGTTCATCCTCTCGCTGTCGTCAACATTTATGTAGATATTCAATAGTCGTAGGAAAAATATTTTTCTCGTCCATTTCCTTTCTTCTTTTAACATTTTTGTTTAAGCTTTTTGTTGTTGTTTGGTGTGTGTTGGCTTCTTACAATTACTTGGCTTGTTAGTTGGGTATTGAAGGATTTGGAATAAATTTACTTTAGATAGTTTGTATATAAAGTAGAGTTTGTAGTGAGGGAATATTGAAAGTTTTTCTTGTTTTTGGTTGAAAAAATTAAGTTAGTAAACACAAATGTGAACTTTTGAGGATTTTTTAAATTTAATCTATGATCATATTATTTTCTATTTATATTAACAATTCTGGGGGGGGGGTGGATGGGAGTTTTAAAAATATATTTAAATATTTATCTTCTACTTTTTCAAATTAAAAAAATTACTTAAAAAATCCCCTTATTTTTTTTAAAATTAGGTTTTCCCTCTGTTGGAAAATCAACTTTACTTTCAAATATTTCTGGTGTGCATTCTGAAGTAGCTGATTATGAATTTACAACCTTAACTACTGTCCCTGGACTTATAAGATATAAAGGTGCTAAAATTCAACTTTTGGATTTGCCTGGAATTATTGAAGGAGCAAAGGATGGAAAGGGTCGAGGACGGCAGGTTATTGCTGGTAAATAAATTTTAATTTGATTAAAAATGTATACTAAATTGGCCCTTTTTTATTGTATATATTTTTTAAATTTATTTTTTTAACTTTCAGTTGCCCGAACTTGTTCTCTAATTTTAATGGTTTTGGACGTTACAAAACCTTTGAGACACAAAGAATTATTGGAATATGAATTGGAAGGTTTTGGGATTCGATTAAATAAGACACCCCCAAACATTACTTTTAAAAGAAAAGACAAAGGAGGATTAAATTTAAATTGTGTGGTATTTAAATTTATTTCCTTAAAAAACTTCCTCCTTCTTTTTTCTCTTTCTAAAAAGGTCCCTCAATCAGAATTGGATTTGGATACTGTTAAAGCAATTTTAGCCGAATATAGAATTCATAATGCAGATATTACACTTAAATATGATGCTACAACTGAAGATTTAATTGACGTTATTGAAGGAAATCGGTCATTTTAGACTAAAAATATTTTTGTTTAAAAAAATATTTTTTAGTGTTTATATTCCCTGTATTTATGTTTTAAACAAAATAGATCAAATAACAATTGAAGAATTAGATATTCTTTATAATATCCCTCATTGTGTGCCTATTTCTGCACATCATAAATGGAATTTTGATGATTTAATGGAGAAAATATGGATTTATTTAAATTTAATTAGAATGTATTTTTAATTAAAAAAATAAAAAAAATAATTTCTTTAAAGTTATACAAAACCAAAAGGTCAATTACCTGATTATGAGACTCCAATAGTTTTAAACGCTGATAAACGAATAATGGAAGATTTGTGTATGAAAATACACAAATCGCTTGCTAAAGATTTTAAACAGTTGAGGAGGGGAAATTAATTTTAAATTAAAAATTTTTTCAATTTCAGTGCTCTTGTTTGGGGCAGAAGTGTTAGACATACACCACAAAGTGTTGGAAAGAATCATCTTTTGGAAGATGAAGATGTTGTTCAAGTTATTAAAAAATGAACTTTTAAAAAATATCAAAAAGTATTGTCTTTATTTTTGTGTTTTTCTTTGTTAGAATATATTTTTGTTATTTTGTTTTTATTTGTTTGTCTACTAAATTATTAAAAAAGAGTTTATTTTTATAAATAATTTTCAACATAATTTTTTGAAGTTTAGGTAACCTTTTTTGTTGTTGTTTAACACAAAATAAATTAAAGTTTAATAAAATTAAGAAGGATTAAATGGATTTGGTGGGTTTTAGGGCTTAAATGGTATATTTAAGGATTTATACAATTTTGTTTACAACTTTGAAATTAATGTCGCGGACAGCGACCAGTGATTATTCATAAATAATTTGAAGTTTACATATTTTTGTTAGTTAGATAAAAATTCTTTCTATTGAACTTGCCCCGTCTTTTGTAATCTAAACTTACATATTTCTCTCTCTTTTGTATTTAAAATTAGTTCTATTGTATTAACAAAGCGCATCTGTTTAATTCCCTTTTTGTGTACCAGCCGCCATTCATTAACTTATATTTTTGCCCACATTTGGAATGTTGTTTACCTTTAACTTTGTCTACCCGCCTATTTTTCTGGCCTATATAATCTCCCCCTCCAAATCCCAAGGGGTTTTTGTTTTTGCGTTTCTTATTAGCTCTGCGCTGTTGGTTCCATTACTCTGGTTCGACTGGCTGGCTCGCTCTGGTTCTTATTGCTTTACTTTGTTTGGCGCTTATTTTACTAATTGTTCGATTTAATTTAATTTCGAATATAAATATTGTTAATTCGATTGGAAGTTTTTTGTGGGAATTAAGAGATAGAAATTGTCCCTAGGCTTTTACTACAATTAAAGTTATTTGTTGACATTTTGTTCTGTGGCATTTTGTCTTTTGGCAAATAAATTAAAGTTTAATAAAATTCGATATCTCCCAAATTTCCCTCGATATCCTCCCAAATTTTTACTTTTAAGTTTCCTTCCAAAAATTTAAGCTTCCGACTATTGAGCCATTTCCGATTTCCTACAGGTTCTATTTCCGTTTCTTAATCCCTCAGCCCCCCAACCCTTTACATTCATCATTTCCGATCGACCTCTGTATCATTACAGAGGGATTCCATTTTATGTTACATTTTATTTCTATTTATTACTGTTATTTTTTGTACCTTCTTTTTAAACGAGAGTTTGTTTCCTTCCGTTATCTTAACAATTAAGAGGATCAAACATCGTTATTTTATATATTTAATGTTTTGTCCAAACAAACAATAAATATATAGATTCCTCCTTTTTTCTTTCTTTTTGCTTTAATATAAAAAAGCTATTTAATAAAGGAAACTATTTACTCTAAATATATATTTCGTCATTATTATTATTTGATTAAAAAAAGTAAAAATAAATTTAATTATTATTTTTTACTTTCTAAATTTTCTTCCTTATTTTTCCTTTAAAAATCTTTTTAAAAATTAATTTTTTAAGAGAAAATAAATAAATTAAAATGCCTTTAAACGGAATTTTAAACAACAACAATATTTTAATTAATACTTCATTAAACAATGGATTTAACAATATTTACACTTATTCAAATAAATTACTAAATAAATTATTAAAAAATTCAAGGAATGGAGAAATTATTTGTTTTTGTAATGCTAAAATATTCAAAAATGGGGAATTTTTAGATAAACAAGTAGGTTGGGGAATAACTAATTTGTTTATTATTAGAATAAATTCTAAACTTAAATTTAGTCTATCACGAGTAAATTGGGTAAAAGTTAAAAATGTTATCAAAAAGGGAAGTTTTTGTTTGGGGACAATTTATGTTATTGGGGTTTTTGACAGTGAAATTATTGTTTTTTTTTTGGTTTTAAGAATTTTAAAATTTTTAGAAGAATATTTTCCATTTTAGTTAAAATAGGTGGGGGTTAAATTAAATTCTGTCACAAATGAGGGAAAATTAAATCTTTTGTTAAATCAGGGTGATCCTTTTGCCTTATTTACAGGGCATTTGCCCTATTTTTGACCAATTTCTGAGTCGCTTCGCCCTATTTTGGTGTTTTGGAAAGGGACACCCTGGTTAAAATATTTGTGTAGAAATTTAATTAATTTTCTGTGTCAAACAATTAAAAATATTAATTTATTTTAATTATTTTCAAGTCCCACCAATTATTTATTTGTAATGGAAAAGTAATTGAAACAACAGAAAAACCAGATATTTTTGTTGATTGTGAAGGTTTAATTTTAGCACCAGGATTTATTGATATTCAATTAAATGGAGCTTTTGGAATTGATTTTACACAAATTTGTACAGAAAATTATGAAGAAAATGAAAAAGAAAATATTCAAAAAATGGAAATTGTTAAAAATAAATTGTTAAAATATGGGGTAGAATTAATTTAGTTTTTGAGAATTAATTTTTAATTTAACTAAAGGTAACATCTTTTTGTCCAACAATTATTACTTCACAACAAAAAGTTTATTTTAATTGTCTTAAATTAATTGAAAAAATGAAAACATTAAATAATGAGAGATTATCTGCACAAATAATTGGTAAATAAATATTTTATTTTAGAACTTAAGAAATTGGAAGTCGAGATCGAGATTTTTGAAAAGCCTGGACCTGTTCCTGGATTCTGGAGTTTAATTTCTTGACCTGGACTGGATTATGGGCCTGTAGTCCCGGAAAACCCAGGAAGGTCAAAAAATGCCTAGGCCCGGACTTTGGGTCCAGGAAAAACTTGGTAAAAAGAGCCTTAGTCCAGGTCCAGCTCGATCTCTAATTGGAAGTAGTAAACAACTCTCTCTCTCTCGTTTAATAAATCTTAAATATTTCTTCTCAACTTTGTTTGTTTATTTTCTAGTCCCAAAAATTTCTTTTAATTTCCTTTCCCTTCCACTAACTTTTTAAAATTTATTTTTTTTATTTTTAAGGTGCCCATTTCGAGGGTCCTTTTATCAATCCAAAACGTGCAGGCTGCCATCCAACAGAATATATTATTCCAATAAATAACAATTTAGAAATAGATTTATTTTATTCTTTAAATTCCCCTTCAAAATTAATTTACAATTTGTCAATTGTAACATTAGCGCCAGAATTAGAAAATTCAGAAAAAGCAATTAAAATATTAAATAATAAAAATATACGTGTTTGTATTGGACATTCTAATGCTGATATGGAAATTGGAGAAAATGCTTTGAATGCTGGGGCTACGGGAATTACACATTTATTTTGTGCAATGGCTGGGGTAATTTTGAATATATTTTGTTTTTTCTTTTACACATTAAACGGCAAATTCGCTTGTGGTTTTTGCTTAAATAAAAATATTTTTTTGTCATTATTATAAGGGGGTCTTCTTTAAATTTAATTTAAATTTAGTTTCATCATCGTAAACCCGGCATTATCGATTTACTTTTATCAACAACAAAAACAACAAAACAAAAATCAAAACAAATATATTACGGCATTATAGCTGATGGTGTACATATTTCAGAGACTTCAATTCAATTAGCTTTTTGTTTAAATCCAAACGGGGCAATGTTAGTGACTGATGGAATTTCTGCTTTAGGTTTAAATGAAGGGAAACATTTACTTGGAAATAAAATAATTAAAGGTTTTTAATTTTAATAGAGAAAATTCCTTTATTTTTTTAGTTGAAGGACGAAAAGCTACAGTTGATGGAACGGATATTTTGGCAGGAAGGTTCTTTAGAAATATTTTTTTATTTAAATTAAATCTCTTTTTCATTTAACAGTGTTGCCTCCATGATAGATTGTATAAAACTTTTTTCTTCATGTATAGAGAAGAGACACGAAAATCGAGGGGTTGCTTCAGCTTTAAAAGCAGCAACCTTTACTCCAGGTAATTTTTAAAAAATAATTTTATTTCTAAAAAAATTTTTTTAGCAAATTTTCTTGGTATTCAACAACAAAAAGGAACTTTAATTGCGGGAAGTGATGCTGATTTTGTATTAATAGATGAAAGGAGAATGGAGATTATTGCAACATTTATTGGGGGAATTAAATGTTTTGATAGTGCAAATTTATTTAATGGAGAATTAATTGAATAAAACTTCAACATTTTATTAATTTTTTAACACACATACACATAATTTTATTTATAAATACCTGCCCAAATCACGTATAAAATTATTCTTCTTTTGTTACTCAAATTGTTTTTACGTGAAAATTTTTTTAAAAGATTTACCGCCTATTTCACAGCTAGAGTTTCACCCACTTATAGTGCCGAAATCATACGGCACTAATATATGTATTTATAAATATGTAGAAATTACATAATTGAAAAAATACAATAATTAAATAGAATAATTTATCCTGCGTACTCTGAATCGTCCCGTTTTTGCCTTGCTCTGAATGAGCGCTCTGAATTGTCCTGCCCTTTCCCGAAGTTTAAATTCAATTTTTGAACAGCAAAAATATGTATAAAAGGCGTCAATATTTGTGTAGCATCTAGTGAATTAATGCTTTAGAAAAATTCCATTATCATTAATTTTGGATATAGTTTAGGGTAATCATGGACAATCCGGGAGACACCCTAAAAACACCTTAAAAATGGTAATCCTGCAGAATCTGGGAGACACTTTAAAAAAACCTTCGAAATTATTATTTTTTTTCACAAAAATAATTTTATTTCGGTAATAGACCATGCTGATCACGAATCTGAGCTTAGAAAATGTTTATTTCGAATCCCGGACCTGGATTCGACCAGGTCGAATTCGGGGTAAAAAATTCGAAATTAAAAGTTTAGGGCTAATCTGACACGCCTATTCGAGCTGAGTCGAATGGTATCAAAATTATTCAGTTTCGACAACTTTGGACGACGTTATAACCAGTTAAATAACGCTGGGTTAGACTTCCGTATACAAATCAGATACCATAACTTGGTCTAAAATTGTCTAAACTGAATAATTCTGATACCATTCGACTCAGAATAAAGAGACGAGTCAAAATGACCATAATATCGTCATTTCGAATTTTTACCCCGAATTCGACTTGTTCGAATTCGGGTCCGGGTTCGAAATAAGCAAATTCTAAGCTCAGATTCGTAATCAGCATGGTCGATTATCTATATAAAATAATTTTCAGAAAAAATGACAATTTTTAAGGTGTTTTTCAGGTGTCTCCCGGATTCTGCAGGATTACCTTAAAAATTATTATTTTTTTCTGGAAACAATTTTATTTAGGTAATCGACCGTGCTGAGTCCGAATCTGAGCTGAGAATTTGTTTATTTCGAACCCCGGACCCGAATTCGACTTGGTCGAATTCGTCGAATACTTGTTTCTGTCTTAACCAGCGTTCGTTTATATGTACATATCTAATCATTTTATCCTTTAAGCCTTAAGCTAAAATTTAAAATAATTTTATAAAAACAATGGCTGGAGTTGTGCTGGACTTTGCAATTGATGAGACTGCACCAGATGCTGAATGTAATTTTATTTTCATAATTTTAATTAAAATTTTATTTTCAGTGGACGAAATTAGAAAGGGAGTTTCTAAAAGGGGGAATCTTTGGGAGAATTTTCACTACAGAGCTGACAATTTTCGACTTTGGCTTTCTACAAGATGTTGTACTTGTCTCTCTTTTGTTCCGTCGTTGGCGTTGGTTTTGATTGCTGCTGTGCTGATAATGCTGCTCATTGCGACAATTCCTCTGGCATTTGCGCTCACTTATTCAAGTCCACAAGCAAGCAATATTGACAAAAAAGCTACTGAAAATGGAGGATCCACATCCAATATTGGAAAGGGAGACAAAGTATTTTGGAATTTGAAAATTGCCATATTTTAAATCTAAATAGTTTAATTTCTTCGTTGACCGTGAACATTCTTCTTGGCCAGAATTGACTGAAGTTTTTAAATATCAAGACTGGGAAGACCATACACCCCTTCGGACAACTGAATTTCTTCCAAAGAATATTACCAGTTGTACTGTTTATGGATTTGCTTGTACTGCTCAGCCGGTAAATCCTTAATGTTTTGACTTTTTTGTTAAATTCGATATTTTAGTACATTGTTGTGTCGAAGAATCGTCGTTGTGACGGACATCCAGATTGTGAGGATGGAAGCGATGAAATTGACTGTCAAGGTTCTTTGTTTGTTTTTGCTACAAACATTCTAAATTTTAGAATGTCAAGCAACGCTTTCTTGCCCAGCATCAACCATCAACAAAAATTCAAAGCGAAGGATTTGTTTAGTGGGTAATCATCTCTGTGATGAATACAAACACTGTCCTGGTTCAGAGGATGAAACTCTTTATTGCAATCGTATTTTTTTTAATTATTAAAAATGTTTTCGGGGACAGGCTCATAGCCAGGAAGAGGGGAATTCTAGGGAATTTGTTCAAAAACAACAGTTAGAACAGCAATCAAAACCAACATCAAAAACTCTGCGAAGAAATTACTAATAATTTATTCTAGTTTTCCGATTTTTGTGCTGTCTGTCATTCTAGGTCACAGTTTTTTTCGAAGCTTGCCATTTTAGATTTGGACCAATATTATAACATTCAACATTTTCAAAAATGATTCCCTTTCTCCCTGAAAAATTTTCTGACTACGTGCCTGATTGAAGAATAAAAGTACACATTAAAATTAAGGTAAAGAATGTTCAGTTGATGAGTATCGGTGCAAGGACGTTGATATGTGCATTCCAAATAATGCAATTTGTGACGGAGAAAATCATTGTCCATTTGGTGATGATGAACAAAATTGCAAAGAATGCAATGGAGGGTCAAAGATGTGTGGTAATGCAAAAGGGGGAATTTGCTTGGCAAAACGTTATCTTTGTGATGGTTTTGTTGACTGTCACATTGACGCAAGTGATGAAAAGGTAGAATTTAATTTTAGTTTAATTGTAAGTAATGCTTGCCTCAAATATACACTCCTTCACAAAATTATAGCCCCACCAATATTTTTCTCGGTTTCTATACTGTGTCCGTTCTATACTTTGTCAACGGATACAGTATAGAAACCGAGAAAAATATAGGTGGGGCTATAATTTTGTGGATGAGTGTATATGTAAGAATTAGAAAAATCTTTTGCAGGATTGTGATTGTGCCTCTTGTTCAGGCAAATTCTCTGCTCTCTGCAATGGAACAAGTAAGATGTGTATTTCCAAAGATAGTGTTTGTAATGGCCGTTTTGACTGTCCTGATGGTGAAGATGAAAATGGTTGTCCAGGCGTTTGTCCTCTTACAAAATTGTCATTAATGAAGAATCAGGAGGTTGTTTAGTTCGGGAGGAATTAATATTTTAATTATAAAGGGAAGCAACTCAAGCAGCCACAATTCCGTTCTTTGCAATGACGGTCTTTTCCACGATTGGTCACATGCATGTGATGGCCTTCTCGAAACATGCCGTTTTAAATGTAAAGAGTGCAATCCTGCTAGAGCCTTCCAATGTCATTCAAACAACGGAAATGGAACAAATGTTTTTGATAAAATGTTTCCAGAGTGCATTCATCGTTCTTTGGTATTTTTGCTTTATTGTTAGTTATTCCTTCGCTCCTGAAGTGGGGAGGGAATCATCTTTTTTGTTTCCTACCCAACGACACGGGGGGAGATTTTATTTTTGAGTGGCGAATATAAAAATCCATGTAATTTCAATTTTAAGGTCTGTGATGGAAAACCTGACTGCCTTGACGGATCTGATGAGTTGGACTGCAGCTGCAAAACCCCTCGCATGAATGAATGTCACAGTAAGACTGCTTTTCGTCGCTGTTATTCTAACTTTCACAAGTGTGATGGTAATTTAAATTTGAATGGAAATCTGGAAATTATTTTACCATTTTCAGGTTATTCTGATTGTTTGGGAGGAGAAGATGAACGCAATTGCACTGCCTGTACCAATGGAGCTTTTCTCTGTCAAACCGAAGGTCGTTGTATCCCCCCTAACGCGCGTTGCAATGGGGAGCCTGATTGCTTGGACGAATCAGATGAAATGAACTGCACTTGTAAAGGTTATTCTTCTATAATGATTTAAAATTTTGAAATCTTTTTAAAGAATGTTCTCGACACTCTAAACAAATGTACATGTGTGAGACTGCTCAGCGCTGTTATCCATTAAATAAAGTCTGTACTCCTTACAGTGTTTGTGCAAATGCAACTCGGATGGATAAAATGTTTTGTGCAATTCGTGGCCATGAATACTTCTGAAGACAAAAAATTATCGACATTTATATATATTTATTGACATTTATATATTTTTAAGTTTATATATTTATCTATATCCTATCTATATCCTAATGATTTAGGTACATATTTTGTAAATCTTAATAGAAAAAATAATTTTTAAAATAAATTCTTTATATTTTTTTGATAATTTTAAAGGTGCTGTGTGATTTCGGCAGAAGTGACGTAGGCAGTGGTTAAATGGGCAGTGAGTGAGTTAGGCAGTAAGGTGAATTGGGCAGTGAGTAATTTAGGCAGTAAACGTTTTTTAAAAAAATATTTTCCACATAAAAACAATTTGAGTATCATCAGATTATGAGTGATTTAGGCAGTAAATTATTGTTATTAAAAAACTATAATGCTCACAAATTTAAAAGTATATCTTAAAGTGTAAATGATCAGCACAAGCTTGGAGGCATAATATATTCAGGAAAAAATATATTTCAATACAAATCCGAGCCCTAGTTATAAACATATTCCTGAGGAAGAAAATTTACTGCCCAAATCACTCACTGCCCAATTCACCTCACTGCCTAACTCACTCACTGCCCATTTAACCACTGCCTACGTCACTTCTGCCGAAATCACCAGACACGATTTTAAATAAATTATTTTAATATTTACTCTACTGGTTATTTTTATTCTTTTTTATTTTCTGTCTTAACCAGCGTTCGTTTATATGTACATATCTAATCATTTTATCCTTTAAGCCTTAAGCTAAAATTTAAAATAATTTTATAAAAACAATGGCTGGAGTTGTGCTGGACTTTGCAATTGATGAGACTGCACCAGATGCTGAATGTAATTTTATTTTCATAATTTTAATTAAAATTTTATTTTCAGTGGACGAAATTAGAAAGGGAGTTTCTAAAAGGGGGAATCTTTGGGAGAATTTTCACTACAGAGCTGACAATTTTCGACTTTGGCTTTCTACAAGATGTTGTACTTGTCTCTCTTTTGTTCCGTCGTTGGCGTTGGTTGTGATTGCTGCTGTGCTGATAATGCTGCTCATTGCGACAATTCCTCTGGCATTTGGGCGTCGTTGTGACGGAAGAATCGTCGATGTGACTGACATCCAGATTGTGAGGATGGAAGCGATGAAATTGACTGTCAAGGTTCTTTGTTTGTTTTTAATACAAACATTCTAAATTTTAGAATGTCAAACGACGCTTTCTTGCCCAGCATCAATCTTTTCCACGATTGGGTCTTTTCCACGATTGGTCATATGCATGTGATGGCCTTCTCTAAACATGCCGTTTTAAATGTAAAGAGTGCAATCCTGCAAGAGTCTTCCAATGTCATTCATTGCAATCTATTCAAAACAACGTAAATGGAACAAATGAAAGCAATTTAACATTGGAGAGTAACAGGAGTGTTTCTGATAAAACTTTTCCGGAGTGCATTCATCGTTCTTTGGTCTTTTTGCTTTAGTTATACCTTCGCTACTGAAGGGGGGAGGGAATCTTTTTTGTTTCCTACCCAACGACACGGGAGATTTTATTTTTGAGTGGCGAATATAAAAATCCATGTAATTTAAATTTCAAGGTCTGTGATGGAAAACCTGACTGCCTAGATGGCTCTGATGAGTTGGACTGCAGCTGCAAAACCCCTGACATGAATGAATGCCACAGTAAGACATTCATTCATGAATGTCTTATTTTTCGTCGCTGTTATTCTAACTCTCACAAGTGTGATGGTAATTTAAATTTGAATGGAAATCTGGAAATTATTCTTTTATCATTTTCAGGTTATTCTGATTGTTTGGGAGGAGAAGATGAACGCAATTGCACTGCCTGTACCAATGGAGCTTTTTCTGTCAAACCGAAGTTCGTTGTATTCCCCCTAACGCGCGTTGCAATGGGGAGCCTGATTGCTTGAACGAATCAGATGAAACTAATTGCACTTGTAAAGGTTATTCTACTATAATTTTTTAAAATTTTCCATATCTTTTAAACAATGTTCTCGACACTCTAAACAAATGTACATGTGTGAGACTGCTCAGCGCTGTTATCCGTTAAACAAAGTCTGTACTCCTTACAGTGTTTGTGCAAATGCAACTCGGAGTGACCAAATGTTTTGTGCAATTCGTGGCCATGAATACTTCTGAAGACAAAAAATACCTTTAGATATTCTTCTCTAATTAATTAATTTTGACTATTTATAATTTAATTATATTTATTGACATTTATATATTTTTAAGTTTATATATTTATCTATATCCTAATGATTTAGGTACATATTTTGTAAATCTTAATAGAAAAAATAATTTTTAAAATAAATTCTTTTTATATTTTTTTTTGATAATTTTAAATAAATTATTTTAATACATTTACTCTACTTTTAAATTTACTCTAAACATTCTTTTACTCTACTGGTTATTTTTATTCCTTTTCATTTTTTCTATAATATTTTTTAAGAAAAACATTCAAGGATGGGTCGTTTATTGAGATTTTCAATTGATGAACCTTTTTCTAAACCTTTAATACTTATTGCTTTTCAAATTGCTTTTATATCTGCATTAATTTCATATTATGGCGTGGAAATCCCTATGCAGCCTGTTTATGACTTTTTTCGGATAAATTTACGAAAGGTTTTGTTAATAATATACGGGTTTAAATTAGTAATTTTGGATTCGATATAAGTCCGGTTCTTTATAATATCGATACTATTCAAACTTATTTTTTGTCCAGATGTTTTTAATTTATCTAAAAATAATTTTATTTCTAATAATTACAGGTTAAACAAAATTGTGGATTTCTTCCTATAGAAAATTTGTTTAATAGTTTTACACGGCGTAAAACTTCAGAAAGTCAAAGAAATGAAGGTTTAAAGCAGAAGCAACGAAAAGGTTTTTTAGATTTATTTTAATGGATTGTTTTCATTTAAATATTTTTAGAAGTAATTTCCTCAGAAAACGGGAATTCTTTTAAATTTGATAAAAATGAGAATTATTTTGTATTTACAAATGATCAACTTGCTTTATTTGATGGGACTCGTCCTTCGAAACCTGTTTATTTGGCAATACTTGGACGTGTTTTTAATGTTGAAAAAGGAAAAAAGCATTATGGACGTGGTGGTGGATATAACTTTTTTGCCGGTATTTTTTAAATAATCTAACGTTTTTTAGATTCTTTATAGAATAATTTAACATTTTTAAGAGTATTTTTAATTATTTAAGTTAATTTTTATAAATATATTTTAATTTTAAGGTCGGGATGCAACTCGAGCATTTGTGTCGGGCGATTTTTCCGAAGAAGGACTTTCTGATGATGTAAATTTTGAAGATATATTTTAATTTATTTAAATCCTCAAAAAACCACAAAAATCCGCATTTTTAAAAATAATCCTTATCGGCCTATCAAAAACCCACAAAATGAGGAAAAATCCACAAAAATCGAAGCCCATATTTAAATTAATTTTAAAATACCTAATTATAAATACCAAATTTAATTTAAGATTAGCGGATTAACAGACGAGGAATTACTTTCAATTGCTAGTTGGATTGAATTTTATGAAAAAGATTATAAATTTGTTGGTGTTCTTTTTGGAATTTATTATGACCGAGATGGAAAACCAACACCTTTACTTGATAATGTAATCTTTATTATCTAATCTTAATTTTATTTTTCAATTAATTAAATACCAAAATAATTTTTTAAAAATATTTTTAGATAAATTCCAAAATTTCTCAATTAAAAATACAAAAACAACAAAAATCAATCGAAATGGAGGCATTTCCACCTTGTAATTCTGAATGGCGCAAAGAGACGGGAGGTCGTGTTTGGTGCACTACAAGAAGTGGAGGGGTGGCTCGTGAATGGGTAAGTGTATATTTAAAAGTCTATATATTAAAGAATATTTTTTAAATATTAAGGTTGGAGTGCCTCGTCTTTTATTTGAACCTACAACTCAAAATCAACGTTGTGTTTGTGTCAAAAATTTTGGTGCTCCCTTATCAAATTTGGGCGTAGATAAAAAACAAATAAAAGGAGGAGAAAGTCGTGGGGATTTGGACAATCCTAATTTAAGAGAATATAAAGATTGTGTGCCAACTGCAAATTCTTGTAAATTACCCATTGATTGAAAAAGGAAAATTTTTATTGGTTGGAACCGATAAATAGAAAATTAACTTCTTGTTCATAACCGTCCTACATTTAACTGCCATAATATACAATTTATTTTTATAATTCTAACGCGGGTATTTTCCGCTTTTTTCTTGCCTTAATTTAATTTTTTTTCAATTTTAAAAAGTCTAATATTTAGTTTTTCTAGTTAATTATATTTTATAATTATTTGTTAATGTTATATGTATTTTATTTTATAAAATGCTTGAAAAAATTTTGAGATAATAAGAATGTTATATTTCATAAACAATTTGTAATTTTATATAGGGCAGCAATAACATGGCTTGATTATTTTTATTTTTTTTAAATCTAAAGGTCAATTTAGAACAAATCTTTATTTTAGAATATTTTAATTTTGTAATAAAAAATCAAGCCCTGTTCAAAAATACTTTAAAATTATTTCTTGAATATTGTAATTAATCAGAAGTAGCTTTTCCAATAAGTAGAAAGTCGTGGAGTATAGGCTGGCGGCCGGTAGCTGTTATAATGTCTCAAATTATTTGCTTTTCCGTGGAAGTACCATGGAACACTTAAAGATTTAAATTAAAACTGAAATTTAAGGATCTGATTAACTTACCTAGAAATGTGGGAAACACGTAAGAATCGATAATTAGATTGTGACCATGGTTTGGCCGACAGATTAAAGCTGTGCTAAAATAAAAAATGTTAAAATTTATTTTCTATATTATTTATATTTTTACCTCTCCAGCTACATAATTATAGCCAGAATATGAGCGTCTTTCCGTTCGCAACTTTGCTTCTGGTGCCAGCATTGTTGGCTTTAAATTAATAATGATTTAAAAGTTAAAATATCTTTACCGTGTATAGAGACTGGAGTCCATAAACTCGTGTATAACTACTAGGACGTGTGTAATGTTGGTCTCTTCCATAAATATATCTTAATAATTGTAATTAAAATTTCATTTTAATTAAAAATATATACTTGTAAATTGGGTATGACCAAGTTCTTGCTTGGAAGATATCATATTTTCTTACCTAAAAATTCAATTAATTTCAAATATTTTAAAAAATTAACTGGTTGATTCTCTTGATAATAGTTTATATTTGCATGGTAAGGTGCAGTTACAATAGCCAAAGGAGAGCGATAACTGTCTACTGATCGAGAACGCCTATCATTTCTTATTGTCTAAATAAGAAAAATTTTTGTTAATTATTAAAAGAATTTTTTGTAGGAAAAATTAGCTAATTAAACAAAAATTTAGCAAAAATATATTTAATTATTTAAAATTAACTTCATATCCGGCAATATCACGAACAGGAGTAAATGATCTCCGTACATTATGACAATAACGATCTACACAATCCATTGGTGTATTTTCGCGTGACCATCGTGACAAATACTTTTCTCTAAAATTTTTATTATTTTTTAGTAAAAATCCGAAGATTTCTAACCCCGACATACCCCTCAACCCCCGGCCGTTATACTTCCCAAACAATTAACAAAACTCACTGTGTTCCGTTATAAAAATCTACTGATCTAGAGCGACGGACATAACCAAATGTCATTATATTAAGAAATTTATTTCAATTGTTTGTTTAAAAAATTTTTCTATTTCATTAAGTATGTACAATAAAATATTTTTATCTAAAAAAATAAATAATAAAAGTAAGTAGGTAAATTGTGAAAATTAATATTTTTTAATTAAATAATCCATTAGAAGCATTTATTCAGGCTTTATATTATATAAATTTGTTAAAATTTCTCAATTCATTCTATATTTTTCACTAACAGATTGAACAACTTAGGTTCAACATTATTAATTATAGAAAATTAAGAAATTGGTGGTGGACGATTATTTGTTCTTAACTGAATATTTATAAAGATTAATCGGAGATATGGAGAAGTTCGACATAAAAAGAATATTTTAAGATTCTGAATATATTTACTAATTTTTTTACTCGATAAACTTTTAAATAAAAAATTTAAATTTCTAAGTAAACATTTTAATGGGAAAAAATTTTATGTTAATTTTAAATTTAATTTAATAAATAAATAAAATATTTATATATTTTAAACAATTAATAACTAAAGAAAAAAAATAAAATGAAACAGCCGTTATTTTATTTAGAAAATCTCGTATTTTACTAGTGAAAATATTGAAAGTATATTCAATATCTTACTTTATTTCTTCTATATTTTTTTTCTTTTTCGATCTTCAACATTTCTAATGTTCAATTCTCTCCTTTATTTCCTTCAATATATTGCCAATCCTTCTGTTAAAAAATCTAAAAACATAAAATACACCCACGTTTATATTCTCTCTTAATCATTTCAAATCTCTACTCAACTTTTCCCATATTCCTCTAAATATTTTAAAAAGAAAATAGTAAATGATGGAGGGGTTTTTTTTATTAGAATTTGTTTATTTTAACGGCTGTTCTTTGAAAAATTGATTTTATTTGGAGGAATTTTGGAAATGTGTATTTGGATTTAAAAATTAATAATTATTTAATTTTAAAAGAAAATTTATTTAAAATTAAAATCTTTTTAATAAATATAAAAATATTTATTGCAATAAAAGTGCACTCTGCAGATATGAACATTTTTCTTCCGATTTTTTAATATTTTTAGGACTTTGCATTTTACAAGTCATCTTTTTTTTTCAGTAGACGAGCCTGTGGAAAAAAATGTGTCAACAAATTCAGATATCAATCCTCCAGTCTGTATCTGAATAGTAAACAACCCAAATATGATGAATTGTTGATCAAAAAAGAAAAAAAGTTAAAATCCCCGTAAAATAAAAATATTTATGGCAATAAAATATTAAAAAAATAAATTGAGGATCATTAAAAATTGAAGATTTTCTGGGCAATATTGAAAAATGAAGTAAAAAGAAATAAAAATAAAGAAAATTTAAATTGAAGAATTAAAAAATAATAGAAACTAATTAATTGGGAATTAGCAATTTAAAATTAATTTTTTTCCTTTATTTAATCCCCTCCCTCTTCTTTATTTTCTTTTTCTCCTTCTCTTAAAATATTTAAAACTCTTCCACTTTCAGAAACTTGTTCAAGAACTTGTTTTGCATCAGAAAAAGTTTCTTGCATTAATCCAAGTTGGGCTTTAAGTAACCGAACATTCCAACCAAAATTCTCTTGAGCGCGCCTTTTTCAATTAAATTAATTTAAAAATAAATTTTTAAATTATTTACGTTGCTTTTTGACCACGAAGACCGGCATCAAAAATTATTTTTTGTAATCCCAATTCGTATTCAGAAATTAATTTACTCGATTCATTTAAAGAAATATAAAGAGAATTGGATTTTAAATTTATATCCTTTAAAAAATTAAAAAATATTTTCTTTTTTAATATTTCTTTTAATTTACAGAGCATTGTTTGAGCAAATTATCTAAAGCAGAAAAAGCTTTTTGTAAAGGATCAGGCACATTTAAATTATTTGTTATATTTAATTGTAACTAAAAAATTTATTTAAATTTAATTTAAAATTTAAATTTACAATTTCAATTTTATTTTCAATTTTTTTATTAATTATAAAAAGAGAAGAGGAAGAATTATTTAAAGAATCTGTTGTCGATACTTAAAAAATAAATAAATATATAAAAATAATTTTTATTAAAATATATTATACTTTCTTTTGATGCTCTTGAATGTAATTTAACTATTGACTGTGCAAGAGTACCTTTTACTCCAATTCCACTTTCTTCTGCCCAAACAGTCTAAATTTTAAATTAATTTTTAAATTAATTTGATTTTAAAAGTTTAGATAGGGGAAATAAAAAATATATATTTAATTCTGAGTAATCTGGTTGGTTAAAAGATTATTCTTTTTAGTGAAAACAAATCGAATAAATAAATCTAAAAATTACCATAGCTAATTCCATTCCAGCTTTTAATTCAATAAATTGAGCAAGAGGACCACTAGCCGATTTAAATAATTCATCAATTTGTTTAATTCCAATAATTTTCATTCCCGTTTGTACTCTACTTGTTTTGCGTTTAACCGATAGGCCCCTCTTTTTTGGTTTCTTTAAAATTAATTAAATATATAATTTACTAAACACACAAACCCCTCCTCCACGTTTATTTGTAACAGCAATATGTACAAATAATGTACTTGCTTCCATTGGTTCCCCCTCATTATTTAATAAAGGAATATGTCTAGAAAATTGAGAGAATTTAAAAATATTTTTAATAGAGAAAAATAATTATTACTAAAAACAATTGAATATTTAATTAACCCCTACCTATATCCGCTCTGTAAACAATCAAAAGGTATTGTATATTGCCCAATAAAATCATCCCCAATAAAATCATCATCTAACACCAAAAAACGAATTAAAGCCAATTCTGGCACAGAAACAGAAAATTGGAAACTTTCATCAAATGTTGGATTAAAACAATTATCATCATCAGAAGACCTAACAGTTTTTGTACGTTCTTCGGCACAATCAGCAGGGACGCCAAAGACTTCAAGCACAACAAAGGGATCGAGGCCTGTGTCTCCCTTTTTTTGAAAAAATTATTTTAAACAATTTCCCTTCCCCAAAGAAAACACCTTTGCAGTAGAAGCCCGAGGTCTAGGTAATTGTTGTCCAGAAAGAACTTTTAAATGAAGTATTTGTTGTGTTGAACGTAAATTATTATTATTATTTAAAGATTGGTGTTGATTTAAAGAAGGAATTAATTTTTTAGATTGTTCCAAATTATTAATTGTTCCATTATTAATTAATTCTGTAGAGGAAGAAGAATTTTCTTCAATCATTATTGAAGGTTTAAGTACATAACCACAACTTCCATTTGCTAGAAATTTTCCCTTAAAAAATTATTTTTCTTTTAAACAAAAAATTAATTTCTTTAAAAACTTCTTGTAAATCCATCATCAATCCAGGCGTTTGATAATTTAAAGCAACAAATTGACAACCAAAATTCCAAAATTCTTGAGGATTTAAATTGGAAGAATCTATTCGTTGGGGGCTTGGAAATACGCGTATAAGACGAAGAGAATTTGAAGAATTTAAATTAATATTTTCTTGCGATGAAAGGGAGGGGGGAGAAGAAAAGAGAAAATTTGGTTGAGAATGGGCAAGACGAATACTTGAAAAGAAATTAAATTGAAATAATTATTTAAGAAATTATTTTTTATAATTAAAATTAATTTTAATATTTATTTTATAATTAGAAAATAATCTTTTTTTTCCTTACCAATCACTTTCAGAGATTGAAATAATATTATGGGAAGGTGAATCTTTAATTTAAAAAATATTTATTACTTATATTTAAATATTTATTTACATTTATTTAAATCTCCACATTCATTAATTCTTCCAAAAATAGCAAAAGGAGCTATTAAATCCCTAATTTCGCGCAATAAAGGCATTAAACGCTTTTTAGTTTTTTGTGTTTGCTCATTTTGTAAATTATTTTCTGTAAGTAAAAGTAATTCTGAAGACTCGTCTTCTTCCTCAACTTCCCCTATTGGAGTATTTCCTTCATAATAAGGGCCCTAAAAAATATTTTTTTTTAATTTATTTAAAAACCCCCTTACAGAAAGAATTATTTTATTTAAAAATTTTTTGGGTGTCGGCAATTCTTTACTCCAATCTGTTGAATCATTTAATGGACGATAAAGACGAGTACCTAATTTTAATTCCAATAAATTTAATAATTTATGTTGCCAATCAATTGAATGTAAATGTAATTCTAATCGAATAAAAAGCGGATATCTTTAAAAGAATATTAAAATAATAATTTGATTATTTTAATTAATTACCTAGTTCTTTCAAATGCCATTTCATTAATTAAATCAAGTACAGGACCTAAAGGTAATTTACTCGTTAAAGTTCCACCATTAAAAAGAACAGGTTCATCTCCTCCTCCATCATCAGGTTCCCAAATATCCAATTCAATATATCGACTTTAAAAAAATTATTTTTATTTTTTGGAATGGGTATTGCTTTTTAGAAAGGCCTTTGATTGTTTTAATCTCAAAGAAAATTTATTTTCTGTTAAAGGGTGGGGCCCACCAAGCAAAGGGTGGACACTTCGAAAATTCTTTATTATATTTGTTCCTTTTTTATCCTCTATCATTAAGCCTTATTTGATCCATTATCTTTAATTTGAAGAAAGATATGCCAAAAAACGCGTGTCCGGTTACTTTTTGGTCACCCTGTGTATGTATTTTTAATGAGATTCGTCATTAAAAAATATTTATTTATTTATTTACCAATTTCTTTTCAATGCAGAAGTATATCCATCTAAAGAACTTGGACCTCTTAATTGATCCTCTACCAAATAAGTATTAAAAGATGTTGAAATAAAATAATTAGAAAAAGGTTTTTCCATATTTTGGCAAACATTTAAATGCAAGGGATCAAAAACAGAATTTGTTTGGGAATGTAAAAAATTAGAGAATCCGTCTACAGTCATTATATTTAATTCCCTAGCTTCATTTGAAGGTTCACATTGATCTATTAAATTTTCACAAAATTGGGTTGTTATTCCAGAAAGCCCTTGCTCTGTCTCGAGAAATAATTGTAAATCCTAT